GAATGACTGGAATAATGAAAAATATATAGATTCCTCCATTTTTTTCCAGCTTGTGCATTCAGTAGCTCTTTGTGCCTAGTCAGTTTCACTCTCTCCTCTGTATACACTGTAAGGCCCTGATCCTGCAAATACTAGCGCACAAGAATAGATGTACACATATGAGTTTGACAGTAGGGAGTGGGGAGGATTGACCTGGGAGTGTTGCGGGGGAGTTTTACTGGTACTGTCTGCATTGGTGATGGGATATCAGGGTGTGGCTTCACTTGAGGGACGATACCTGAGCACATAACCTGAGCCAGGAGGGGGCTGGGACCAGTGACACCTTCTGCCCAGAAACTGGACAAAGGCTGGAAGAGGAGCTGGGCTGTGTGGCTGGGTGAGACGGCTGAAGGGGGTTTCAATTTGGAGCTGGCTGGGGAAATGGAGGGAGATCCTACGCCGGGGTCTAGGCTCTCTGCCCCCCAAGATGGACCTGACTGAGGGGGTCCTGTTGTCTGGACCTATAAGCTCTGTTTTGGACTGTGTTCCTGTCGTCTAATAAACCTTCTGTTTGGCTGGCTGGCTGGGAGTCACGGTGAATCGCAGGAAGTAGCAGGTGCAGGGCCCTGACTACCCCATACTCCGTGACAATGAGTTGTCCCACTGAAGCCAAAATTCTTAATGAGCCTGCAGGAGTGCAGCCTTGATTAGTCAGTTTGTTGTTTTGGCTGTCTGGGATTTTCACACAGTGACAGGTGAGTGACAACCCATCTATCAAATTGCAAAATTGGCAGATGAAGCCAGGGACAGGAGTAGCATCTGAAACTATTTGACATATTTTTTAAAATGGGCTAGATTTCAAGTTGACAGAGTTTCCTTAATAATATCACCAGTGATGCTGATCAGGTGCTTTCAGCATTGAATAATTTCCTGTTCCTTTCAACATTGAATAATTTTTATATATGTTTTTCTGTTTGGTGTTATGATGTTTTTCTAAAAGATACATGCTAGTTTAACCACAGCTACTAGACTTGAAGGAGGAATTAACTCAGGGAAGTTCTATGGCCTGTGTTACACAGGAGGTCAGACTAGATGACCACAATAGTCTCTTCTGCCCTTGGAATCTATGAATGTCAGGCAGTTCCCACCGTTCAGCTTGGCTAATTCATAAAGTGGACTCAGCAGCTGACAAGAGCTTCAGTGTTCATGGTCAAGATGTTGATGATTTCTGTGATGTGTTCTCATCGGATTGCAATGTATTATAATGCACAGACAAACTTCTGTTTGAAAGATAATTGGAGCCAGAGTCTAAGGCATGTTTCAGTAGCTCATTATGAAGTGATTTTAAACATCCCTTAGTTGTGATCCAGCTACGTACTTATACAGTCAGATAATCCCTTTCAGGGCCTGGCTCTGGGCCTGCATGACAGGGAATGCTCTCAACTAGTGGATAAAGTGCATCAAAAAGGGAGTGTGGGAGCTCACCAATTCTGATGATTGTGTGTCATCATAACTCTTGATGTTGTGGGCTAAAGTGACATGATGCATCATCTTGTGTGATTGTAATGGGAAACGGCTCAGGGAAGAGGAAAGAGAGAAGAGATGGAATGTATCAGAAAGGAGTCTACGTGACCAAATGGATCAATAAACAGCTAAACAAACTCACTTCGTAATGGGACATTAAAACATTCCTTAGATTGCGTGTGATGGGGTGTGCAAACCCCACACTGGGCAACAAGGGGTTAACGAATTACTTTGGGCCCAGCCATCCCTTCCCTGCCACACCTGCAGCAAATGCTCCATGTGGCAGAGGAATTAAAAAACAGGGAAACATCTTATTTGGGGGCAGGCCTGTGATTCCTGCAGTGCAGAGCAAAGTTGAAGGCTGAAATCTCTAAGATAACTGTCCCAAAGGGCCCTCCCAGAAGGGAGGGAGGGAGGAAGGAAGGACGGACCCACCCCAGAAACAGTCAGAGCATGGAACATTCCCCTTTCCCTCACATATGGATCCTGGATATTGGTAATCCCTTTTTATTCTCTTGGTTTGGACTACCCAAGCAGGGGAAGCCTTGGACTGAGCTAGCTTGGGTGGGTAGGAAGTGACTCAGAGAGCACAGCCTTAAGCAGCTTTGGTTGCCAGATCACTAATAGCCCAAAAAGGCCCTGGGTTGGAGCCTGGTGGAGTTGGAGGACCTGGGCTTTTCTACCAACAACCCCTCTGCTCGTCATGGGTCATAGCCCTAACCACTCGGCCACAGTTCCTGACCAACCCCAAGTGAGGACTGTTACACTCTGACTCAAATCATCTTTCAAACAGAAACACTGAAGCTCTTGTCAGCTGTTGAGTCCACTTTATGAATTAGCCAAGTTGAACTGTGGGAAGTGCCTGACATTCATAGATTCCAAGGGCAGAAGGGACTATTGTGATCATCTAGTCTGACCCCGTGTCCTAGAACTTCCCCAAAATAATTCCTAGAGCAGATCTTTTAGATAAACATCCAATCTTGATTTTAAAATGGTCAGTGATGGTGATACCACCGTGAATCTTGGCAAAATGTTCCAATAGTTACTTTCACCATTAAAAATGTATACCTTATTTCCAGCCTGAATGTGCCCAACTTCAGCTTCCTGTCATTGGATCATGTTATACCTTTCTCTGGTAGATTGAAGAGCCCACTATTAAATATTTGTTCCTTATGTAAATACTTAAACTGTAATCAAGTCACCCCTTAGCCTTCTCTTTAAGCTAAATTGATTGAGCTCCTTGAGTCTATCACTGTAAGAACTGTTTTCTAATCCTTTAATCATTTTTCTGTAGATTCACACATTTTTCCTGTAAAATGTAGTATAAGAAAAGAGAAATGCCATCCAAAGAATATAAATTGCAAAATTTAGGACCTATTCTTGAAACGCCTTTATGTATGTATGCTCATGTAAGTAAAGTTATTTGCTTGTAACCATTTTTGTCGTTAAGTGAGTTCAAGTACAAGAGATAATCTCCCTCTTTTTATTAATAAACTTGTTTTTCTTTTAATCTAAACCAATCTAGTGCTGTGTTTGAATTGAAGTGATTGTTAACTCCAGTTACAGTAATAAGATGTACTTTTATCTCTTCTGAGCATTCCAGGAGATGACTGGATGCTTCCGGGCAGATGGTTTTGGGGAACTTCAAGACTGCAGGTGTGTTGGGCTCACCCTAAAAGTAGTAACCCAGGCTGGTGGAGACCAGGATGTAGACAGGCTGCTGGGGTCGGAGAGTGGAACGAGGGCTGCATGGCACACAGACGCTCAAGGAACTGCACGCTTGTCTGCTGGATGTTGGTGTCCAGGCTGTGAGCCCCAACAGCAGGGCCATCCCTACGGGTGTGTGGGGCCCAGGGCGGAAGTGATGAATTTGTCACTTCCAGGACTGACCCATCACTTCCGGGACTGACCATGCCAGGTCAATTGCACCAGCCTGCAAGGACCCCCAAAGCATGGGGCCCAGAGCGGTCACCCCGATTCACTATACCCAAGGGACAGGCTCTGCCCAGCAACAGAGCATTTTAGGCACCCAGGGTTACAGGACTGGCAGTGTCCCAATCCCTTACTGGTCTGAACTGAATCCCCAAATCTGTCAGATACACTGAATACCATGTAATTTACTCTGTGGCTCTTTCTGATTGCCATAAAAAATCATGTCCCCATCTGCTCTCTGTGAACACTAACGAACCCATGGTGCTGCTTGCAAGGACTGGTCTACACTAGAAAAGTTATACTGATGTATCAGTTAAGGGTGTGAATTTTTAACCAATATAATCATTCCAGTATAAGCCCTAAGTGTACACAGTTACACTAGTATATTGCTTCTTGAACTGGCATAAACTGTACTGCTATAAACACTGATGCCAGTATAACTGCATCAATACTAGGAAAGTTCTGCCATTTTAACCACATCCCGATTAGATTCCTATTAGAGTCAAGGTCTTCAATCCTGCAAACATTTAAATGTGTGTAATTTTGCCAATGTGAGTAATCCCACTGATTTCTATGGTACTGTTCACGTGAGTAAATTACCCATGTGCTTAACATTTACAATTCAGGCTTTGGTTTGCCCCAGTTCCTTAGCAAAAATGTGGAACCTCTCTGAAAAGCTTGGCCAGCTGAGAACATGGCATCTTTTAACAGAGTATTGGCCTGGTCTATGCTACAAAGTTTTGTGAGCATAGCTATATCGGCTAGGAATGAGGAAAAAGTCACTCTCACTAGCTACCCCGAGTGTAGACGCAACTACGCCACCAAAAGAGTATTCTGTGGATTTAGCTAATGTAGCTATGCCCACAGAAGAATTCCTTCTCCTGGCATTGGTGTACTGACTAAAGCTCTGTAGTGTAGACATGGCCTTAGTTACAGTGTACAGCATACAGCTTTGACCCTGCAATGGTTTCCAGGTGGGTGGTTTTCATGTGCCCACACAAAGCCCATTGCAAATCAGTGGCACTTCAGATGGATGCCGGGTGTGGCTGCAGGAGTAGGGTGGACCAAACGCCTGTAGTCGATAAAGGAGGGCAAGTGGTTTGATTCTGTTCTCCCTGGTTGGCTGGGGTTTGTTTTCTGGTTTGGGGGAGGCTGCTGGGCTAGGGCTTTGTTTGTACACACATAAAAAGCACTTAGGGGGAGAGATTTCCAAAGGCAGGAAGAGCCCTTTGGTGTCTCCCTCCCATGGGAGTTGGGTGCCTCACTTAGGGTGACCAGAGAGCAAGTGTGAAAAATCGGGACAGAGGGTAGGGGGTAAGAGGAGCCTACATAAGAAAAAGCCCCAACTATGGGGACTGTCCCTATGAAATCTGGTCACCCTAGCCCCACTGCCCTGGGTGACTTTGAACAGAGGCGCCTTCTCTCTGGCCTCCAAGGCCCCCTGTAATGCCAGGGAAGGGGCCCCAGGGCAAGCTCCCTCCCCACCCCAGCTGCGAGGCAGGGCAGGCTGGAAAGGGGCCGGCTGGGCTGGGCTGGCTCGACACAGAGGGCGGAAGCAGGTTTCCCAGTGGCGGGGCAGAGGTTGAGCGAAGCAGCAGCCGCCGCCACCGGTCTAGCATGTACTGCTGGGGAGCCGGCTCCTGCGGGCAGCTGGGGCTGGGCGAGGCGGCAGCCGGCGGGCCGGTGCTGTGCCGGCGGGGGCCAGAGGCCGGCGGCGGCCACACGCTCCTGGAAGCGGCTTGCGGGGAGCGCCACACGCTCCTGCTGCGGCCCGACGGCACCGTCTGCTCCTGCGGGGCTAACGCCCGGGGGCAGCTGGGCAGGAGGCTCCGCCCGGGGCAGCGGCCCCCGCCTCGCAGCTACACGCCGGGTAAGAGGCTGGGCAGTGCCCTGTCCCGCTCGGGCAGCCGGGGGCCAGGAGCGTGGGGCGAGGCGGGTGGTTCCGGGGGCTGGGTGCCTGTGCGGTGCTTCTTCCTCACCCACATCGCTGGGGCCGCAGCTGTCCCGGCACTAGGGCAGGGCTGGGCGGGGCAGGCGCCCAGCTGGGTTCCGCTGGGTGCATGCAGCCGGCTGGGAAAGCCGCTCCCGCTCCGGTACGTTTCCATTTCTCCCTCCTGCCGATCAAGCTGCAGGTTTCGGATTCCGCCTCCAGGTCGCTGCTACATTCGGTTTCGGATTCCTGGTGGGGGCAGTCAGCTGCTGAGAAGCGAAACCCAGCCGCAGCTGCTGCTCTGCTTTCTGCCTCTGGCTGGCTGTCTCTCCTCCTCACCGGTAACTCAGAGAGAGACTAGCGAGAGAAGGTGGCAGCCCTCTCTGCACCTACAAATCAATATCGGTGCCAGGGTGGATTTGATTTAAATCATAGTTTAAATCAGTAGTCAGGAAGACTCGATTTAATCATGGTTTTCTACATAAAAGTGCATTCCTGTTGGTTGTTATATCCTTAATACCTATTCTTCACAACCCAGAGAGGTTTCATTTTTAGGTTTCATTTTTAGAAGGTACAACTATACATTTTTAAACTGATTTATTTTGAAAACGTTTCAGATTAGGTTTACAGCTATATCAGAAAATGAATGATTGTTTGGTTATTTCATTTACCGAAAGTAATTGAAGCAGATATTTCTGAAGTCCTTGGGAGGTGAACTATCTCCAATTCAACTGGTTAATCATTAACATTTGGAGGACTTTCTTGCCATGGTGTATTCGGAGGAGATCACCAGACAGACATTTAAATTGTTTTATTTAACTAAAACAACAACTTTAAGTATTCTGGATTTTTTTTCTTCAACAGCAAATATAATATTTTAGAAAAAAAGCATATGTCCCTTGCTTTTCACATTTATCTCCAGACTTCTTGTCCTTGTCCAGATCTATTCCACCCCCAACAATCTTCTATTCACTGAACTTTTTGAAACTTTTCACTTTTAGAGAGAGGTAAGGGATTGACTCTGTACACAAATTTGCAGAGGGACAATAGAGTTGAGGTCTGTTATTTCTCACCTCTATATATTATTTATTTATTGGCCAGGAACGGCAAACCGCACCCCTGGGAGCTGTGGGTGGCCATGCCTGCGGACAGTCAGTGTAAACAAACTGTCTCGCGGCCCGCCAGCGGATTACCCTGATGGGCCGCAGGTTGCCCACCATTGTTCTAGCACCTGGTTACTAGTATTGTTTATGGCTGGAATGTGACCAATCAGGAAGCAATGTGTTTTGTCTCCTTTCCATCTGATTGCTTCCTTTTCTTTTTCTATTGAGTTCAGAAGTAAACCTAGAGCTGTTCCCCTGTGAATCCACTCCTTTCCTCTCCCTGCTCTCCTCTTATACTTCCCTCACAATTTCTGTCTTCTTTCCTACTCCTGGGGCTGTGTTCCATTCCTCCGGAATAGGAAAGTTGCTTTCTCTATTACCAGTTCTCTACCAACCTCTCTTTCCTTTGCTTATTTCTCTTCTTGCTGCCTGGATCATCAAAGCCCTATCTAAAGCAGAATTGTATTCTGTTATCTAGATTCAAAATATATATTTATAATAATGTTATTTCCAGGCAGCTTATAACAGTTTTATAAAGGCAAGGCAAAATTTTAGGTTCAAAATCAGGAGAGTGGAAGGATTGTCTCATTGCTGTAAGTCTGGATAAAAATAGAATTTTACTCAAAGACAATTACTTGGCTAAATTTCCCCCGTCCGTTCTCTTTTTACTATTTTTGAAGCTATTTAAATGTTAGTGCTTTGTCCATCTCAGCCTACTTTCTGATTTTTCCTGCATTGAAGTCATAATTCTGTACAAAAGATATCATGGTCTGTTCTTACCAATAAAATTATTGCTATAAATTTGGTTTATGACTTATTTCCAGCACCAAAGAAGAGAGAAAGTTCTCTCAACCCATCTTTTCAAGTAAAAGTACAATAACATTGGTAATTAGCAAACTTAGGAGAAATGAAAAGCTGTGGAAGGTGAATTAAGATTTTAGGCTGACGTGTTTAAATATTTCATTCGTATAAAAGTTCTCTTATATTCTTGTGGTACTGCCATAATTTTTTCCCAAGGCACATTAGTGTTAAGTGTTAGAAACCTGAGAGTGCTCTTGTTTTTCCTCTGTATTAACCAACACGCTCATGGTCCTGTGTCAGCCTTGATCTTTCCAGTAGAGGAAGGAAACTCCATTTAGAGCCTATTTATGCTACTTCTTAATTAGTGGGAGGAATCACCAATGTGAATTTCTTCCCCCAGGAGCTGAGTGTTGCTATATGACTAATCCTTTGCTATTGGCAGGTAGGGTTTGTGTATATCTTTTCTTTCTGTAACCTCTGAATAACTTTTTTTCCCCACCAAAAAGAACAAATTCAAGCTTTAGAAGCACAGATTATTGTTCATGTGAGCTGTGGAAAAGAACACTCGCTGGCTGTTTGCAACAAAGGAAAGGTCTTCTCCTGGGGAGCTGGGTCTGAAGGCCAGCTGGGCACTGGAGAATTTAAGGAACAAAGTTTAATCCCGAAGTAAGTAGCCATTTAAGCGTAATGTTTCAGACTCACTGTATGGTCCCCATTTGTGCACGTCACGAAACCACTACAGAATCTGGCCCAGTTTGACATTGGTCAGGACTGGAACTGGAAGGTCTGAGAGAGAAAAGTTGAGTTTTGGGGGAAGTTTGCAGAGCATTGAATCTCACATCTAGCTGTCTCAAAACAGGTGTAAGAGTATTTAGATGCTGTGCGTGGTTTCCTACTCTTGCATAGCATGTTCTTTACTTACCCAAACACAGCATTTCATCCACAAGTTAACTTTGTCTCTGTATGATTTCTTTTATCATAAATGAGGGATTAGATGGTGGTTCAATATCACCTGAATTGTTTGCAGCTTGTTTAGAAGAGATTTTTCTGCTAACTATGTTGGGGTGATGTAGGCTTCGGCATGCATGGAGAGAGAACTGCTTGAGGATTTCAGTTTTTTTTTTCAAGTGCAGTTACAGGACTTATTTATAAATAGCAGTACACACACTCATCTGTGAATATGGGACTAAATTCAGCTCTGGCATCAGCGTTCCAGTGGAAGTCAATGCCAGAGCAGGATTTGCCCCCTGCAATTTTTGGGCAGTGGTGCGGCCACAAGTTAAAGTAGGGGAGACGTGTTTATTTCACATAATCCTGTTAGTTGTTCTTGTAAATGACATTTGTTTTGCATCCCCCACCGCGAATGTCAGATCAATGCAAGTTAGGTTCCTTTGCCAAATACACCTTTTTCTAACCATTTTGCACCTGACATGTTTATGACATGACTACTGAATGGTATACGGAAATGTAAAGCACGAACAGTACGACCACAAACCCTTTGTTTTTATAGCAAGTATATTTCTGTCTGTCTCTTTCCTGTTTAAGGAGAATTGTTGTTTACCTCTCCTTCCCTTATCCCTCCTCCTCCCACAAAGTTGGATGCATCAAAGACCAGATCGGCTACTTCAGCGCCCTTTAATCCTGACTAAAGTTTAGGCTGTGCAAGAAGCGTGGGAACAGGTCTCAACTCTCTTGCAGGGTGCACCGAAAATTGAGGATCAAGCTCTAGAGCTTATAGTTTGTTGTGGGGGTGGGGAAGAGGGTAGCAGCCAAACAGAGAAGATCCAAAAGTGGGTGGTGCTGGTCAGGAAGGGGATGTGGCAGTGATGGCTCAGGGATGATCCTATGGGGGCATGACCAATTTAAAGCTGCACTTCCCTAGGGGAATCCTTGTGGTGGGATGGTGCCTGCTCTTTCCTTGACCTTAAGTCTTTCCTTCCTCGACTTTACTCCCCAGCAGGAGATCACCAGACCTCTCCTCACCAGCAGGGATGCAAATAACTCCTCAGCACATCAAGTTCTAAAAAAGCCAGTGAATGTTGTAAAATAGTCACTAACATCTGTACACCACGGAAAGAAGAATCGCCTTGACCAGACCATGACTGTTTGGTCACTTGTGAAGTTGTTTAGCTGGCATATTACATTCTGAGGCCTTGCTGAACTCGGGAACAAAATGCTCTGATCCTGTATCAGATGAAACTCTAACACTTCTTTACCCATTCATAATGTTGTTTTTCAGTCTTGTAAGACAACATTTGTAGTTAGTTAGTTATTCCCCACTCCACCCTCCCATGCATGCCCTTTCTATCTGCTTGCTGGGCATGGGGTTAGGAAATTGTAAGCAATGTATTAAAACTCTCACTTGAAAATGATTTAGTGAAAAATATTGGGCCCATTCTTAAAAGCACTCTACACACAGGCTTAAGTGGGAATTTAGCACATGGAATAGATCCAGTCTGGATGACCTTATGGCATATCAAACATGGCTCCTCCAGGAAGTCTGTAGAAGAGACAGGGTTTTTCAAAATGTATGGAACAGTCTAAAACTCCAGTCAAGTTTGTTCTACATGCATAGGCAATACCAACAGAGTATACTCAGAGAGCACTATTAGAAAAGAAGCTTTTATAATTAAGAAATATAGCATGCTTTTTAGACCCTTAAAATTCAGATATAAGAACGGCCATACTGGGTCAGACCAAAGATCCATCTAGCCCAGTATCCTGTCTTCTGACAGTGGCCAATGCCACTGAGGGAATGAACAGAACAGGTAATCATCAAGTGATCCATAATCCAATCCATAATGGATTTTCATTAGACTACCAAAAAATCTGATCTATAAACAATCTTCATGCTAAATTTTTAGTTTCTGTTCCAAACTGCTAAGACACCCAAGCTCTTAAAAAAACAACCTTACAACATTTTCTCCATTATTAACATTTATGTTTGCTTTCTGTTTCCCACCCTGCCTTTGTAGTAAAACAAACAGCAGAACAATATTTGCTTGAGCTTTCTAAAGACATTCAGCATTAGGAAGAAACCAGATCCAGAAAATTTCACCCCTCCAGGTGAAAGTTTGACAAAGTTCTAGGCAAAAGTCTTGTTAGCATGGGCATGTTCAGGGAACCTTAACTTTAGCTGTAGCTATGCTCTCCAGCTGTAATGCTTATATATGGATACTTTTGCTGTCAACAAAGTTACATTGCAGTGGATGTGTAAGAATCTATTCCGAATAGGTTCAAAATACAGTGCGCGTTCACCTCTGTGTGAATAATAGGCCACTGAAGCACAGGACAAATTAAGTCAGAGTCCAAATGACACATTTATATGCATCTATCTTAAGTAGTGGAGAAACAACCTATTGCAGAAAACTCTGACTGGCTAATGGCCAGGCAAAGGTAAAACAGAGACTGCAGAGTCAGTGTTATAAAATATAATATTACATTATCTGTTTTCTGAAACATAATTGAGTTTTTCATATGACCTAGAAGCCAAGTTAACTTGGCTGTCCTGTTTCTACTACAGGAAAATAGATGGCCTTTCTGCTCTCCGAATAATACAAGTCACCTGTGGGCACTATCACTCGGTTGCACTTGCACAAGGTAATACACGTTTCATTCTTAAATTATTTCCAAAGTGCCATGCAAGCAATTCTGTTCTTTGGTGCAGTTAATTTATGTGTCAGTCAGATGTTAAGTTGTCCATTACTCCTTTAACAGAAATTATGCTCATTACGGTAGTGCTCATGGACCAACCTAGAATGGAACCCTATTGTGTCCAGTACAATGCAAACACAGAGTAGTACGCAGTCCTTGCCCTGAAGAGTTTACCGTCTAATAGATGAGACAGAGAAAAGGGAGGGCAAAGGGATACAATATACAAGCAGAGCAATCAGTGTGATGCGGGCAAATGTCAATTTATCTTTTTCTGTTTTTCTTACAGCCCAAATAATGCTTAGTACCTCATTTCTGAAAAAGCCCAGTGGGGCCAAGTTAGCCATTGGTTAGTTATGCTCACAAAGGAGCTGCTAGTAACATTTTTTTGTCAAAGCGTTAGCTATTGTGTTACTTGTGGCACCTTAGAGACTAACCAACTGATCTGAGCATAAGCTTTCGTGAGCTACAGCTCACTTAATCGGATGCATTCAGTGGAAAATACAGTGAGGAGATTTATATACACACAGAACATGAAAAAATGGGTGTTACCATACACACTGTAAGGAGAGTGATCACTTAAGATGAGCTAATACCAGCAGGAGAGCGGGGGGGGGGGGGGGGGGGAGAAGAAAACCTTTTGTAGTGACAATCAAGGTGGGCCATTTCCAGCAGTTAACGAGAACGTCTGAGGAACAGTGTGGGATGGGAAATAAACATGGGGAAATAGTTTTACTTTGTGTAATGACCCACACTTTGGGAGACAGGCCAGTCCTTGCCTACAGACAGCCCCCCAACCTGAAGTAAATACTCACCAGCAACCACATACCACACAACAGAACCACTAACCCAGGAACCTATCCTTGCAACAAAGCCTGTTGCCAACTGTGCCCACATATCTAGTCAGGGGACACCATCACAGGGCCTAATAACATCAGCCACACTATCAGAGGCTCGTTCACCTGCACATCCACCAGTGTGATATATGCCATCATGTGCCAGCAATGCCCCTCTGCCATGTACATTGTTCTTGTTAACTGCTGGAAATGGCCCACCTTGATTATCACTACAAAAGGTTCTCCCCTCCCCCGCCTCCCCCACTCTCCTGCTGGTATTAGCTCATCTTAAGTGATCACGCTCCTTACAGTGTGTATGGTAACACCCATTTTTTCATGTTCTGTGTGTATATAAATCTCCTCACTGTATTTTCCATTGAATGCATCCGATGAAGTGAGCTGTAGCTCACAAAAGCTTATGCTCAAATAAATTGGTTAGTCTCTAAGGTGTCACAAGTCCTCCTGTTCTTTTTGCGAATACAGACTAACACAGCTGCTACTCTGAAACCAGCTATTGTGTTGGGTGTTGTCTGTGATGGGAAGGCAACCCTTCTCAAAACTGCTATTTAGATAAGAAAATGTCAAAAATCTTCCCCACGTTCTTTTGGGGAATTGTTCATTTGATAGCTAAAATCCATCTTCAGTAATAAAGAGATGAATGTGTCCCTTCTTCCTTCTCCTAGTGAGGAACCACAATTCCTGCTACATGCAGTGAGGCTTCTTACATCCAGCACGGATGGTTAAATGGGCAGAGAAGAAGCTTCCTCTGCTGTTGCCTGTTCTGTACTTGTTCTGTGGCTAAACAGAAGGCACTGGGTTCAGGGCTGTCAGTCTGGCATTTGTCATGAGCACTACATTAAATATATGCCTTTGGCATAGTGTGTCATGTTTAAGAGGGTGGTATTTTATCTTGTTATACAGGTTCACTGGCATTAAAATGGTAGAAGGGGACGCTGAGAAAAGCATTCTCCGTTCATTATTTGTTGTTGTTAGATGAAAAATGTAACAGTTTCTATGAGCATACAGAACTACCTGATTCCTCAGCTTTGGATGGATTAGGAAACTATAGATACTAATTTCAGTTTGCTACCAACACAAGCTGTGTAAAATTATTCTGTCAGCACAGTGTCATGCAGCTCCAGGTATTTGCCAAATCACAAGCATGAGGAATAATGGGTATGGGCCAAATTTAGTTGTCATCACACCCCACAGTCATTGGGGTAGTGTGTGGATTAGTGAGCATAGAATTCACCCTTATGTAGCTTGACTGAGTGGTAAATCTGCCCTCCTCTGTGGCATCAAATTCACATCAGGGGCATAATTTTTCACAGCTGTTAGTGAGCTAGTTAGTGCACGTGTCACTTGAAGGTGTGTCATCTTTTACTTTGTTTCTCTTTCTTTTAATAAAGATGGCAGAGTCTTTTCATGGGGACAGAACACCCATGGCCAGCTTGGTCTGGGTAAAGAAACCCCCTCCCAGCCTAGCCCACAGCATGTCACATCTCTCAACGGGATCCCCTTGGCTCAGGTTGCTGCTGGCGGGGGACACACCTTTGCGCTGTCTCTCTCAGGAGTTGTGTATGGGTGGGGAAGGAACAACGCACGGCAGCTGGGATTAAATCACGCTAATACAAGAGGTAACTCTATCCTTTCATTTCTCAAGGAAACTCCATCTTAATTCCAGATTTCCTCTTGTTGTATAGACTCTCCTGAGATAATGGGATGGACTTAGACTGTTCGCTGGGATGGACTTACACTGTTCGCTAGAATGAACCATGACTAGAACTAGATGAATATGAGGGGGGAAAGGATATGTACATGTTTGAATGAATTTGCACCAACTGTTCATGTTCTATCAAATGAGTTTGTTGGCGAGAAATCACCAAAACGGGAAACTTTAAGCAAACATTTGCAGAATGTTTGCAGGAACACATTTTGAATTCATATTCACACTGGAAGCCTGATTGTAAGAGTTGTACCTACCCAAAGAGGGAGCAGAAACATCCTGTGACGTTACCCAGGGTACAATCTGGACTGATGGACAGCTGTGTCCCCTCAGTTCTCCGACCTGGGGTGACATTTACACTGCTTTGCCGTGAGAGCAACCATTCCTGGTCTGCTCACACACAGCCTCCAGCAAGTAGGTTACTCCCAGCTATACTGTATGAGTACTGTAGCCAGCCAGTCATGAACTCCGCTGCAGGGCAACACCAGCAAACTCCCAGTCCCAGACTTCCCCTCAGAAATGTGCATCTTGTACTGCCCAGCACCCTCCTGGACAATACAAGTTCATATAAAGTCCTTTATTTCATTAATAGAATAACAGGGGTGGCCAAACTGTGGCTCATGAGCCACATGCGACTCTTTTACAGTTAAAGTGCGGCTCACAAGTCCCCCAGACTCCCTCCCAGTGTCCACCTACCAGACAGGGGGCCGTGGGGAGAAGCTCAGGACCTCACCTTGCAGGGGGGTGGTGGAGTAGGGGCTTCTGTCCAGCGGGGAAGGGGAGCAGTCTCAGGGCTTCAGCCCTGTGGAGAGCACGTGCTGGGGCTTGGGGCTTCAGCAGGAGTGGGGCTGAAGCCCCAGTTCCCAGCAGGTGTGACCTGGCTCTTGAACTTCTAAAAATAGTTGTATGTGGCTCGGAGGGCCAGTAAGTTTGGCCACCCCTGGAATATGATATGCACAAATCCTGTTCTCCCAAATGAAGTTTCCCAAACACACTGGTTTAGATAAAACAAATGTATTAACTACAGAAAGATTTTAAGTGATTACAAGTAATAAGGCATAAAAATCAGAATTGGTTACAAGGAATAAAAGGTAAAATGTAACTAATGCTTAACAAGCTAAGTGAATTCAAAGCAAAGGGCTCTCTCAGCAGGAGTTCCAACTGTCTTACTGGCTGAATCCTTCGGTCAGGATCCTTCTCCAATACTGCTTCCTTTGTTTTTCAAGCGTTGTTGATGCTGAGGGTGGAGAGAAAGGAAGAGGTGGTTTGGGATGTCTGCTCTTCCAGCCATTTCTCTTCCACAAGAATCACCTCCAGCTGGCATTCAGGAGACAGGAAGTCTGTCAGGAAGCTCAAGCTGCTGCTTTGTCAAAATGTCAGTTCTTTGCCAACACCCTCTCTCCTGCGGAAGAGTGGCCACTTAATCAGCTGAGGGTCCATTTAATCTTGTTGACACGTGGCTGAGCCCTTGGCTAGCCTTTTGTCTCTGGGGAACTGGTTTGTGACTGCCCCCAGAGCAGGTTGCAACATGTCTCAGCAATACCACACAGCGAAATCTTTACATACAGTGTTGCCACACACATTTTACCAAGACAATAATAATCAGCAAATCCTGCGTTTTCAAATGATACCTCCCAGTGCATACTTTGTACAAGTTTTACCATAATCCTCTAAAAGGGGTGAATATAGGGGGACAGACTGTCACACATACCACCTAGCCAATCAAAACAGCTTGAATTTCTAACATTGAACTCTTTTTTTAATGTCCCCCTTACAAACAAGATACCAGGTAAGAACTATTTGCAGAAAATCAGTGAATCACATGAACAGCGATTAAATTTGAGGAAAATGAAGTGTTTGGACAGGAAAAGATGAGATGATTGACTCTATTCAGCCAGCTCGGACCAAAACATTTCCACAGCTTGTATAAAGGGCCCACAGGTCAGGCAGCTGTGGAGACAGTAGGATCTTTGGAAACCAGAAAGAATGACCAATTCATTTGGAAGTGGATGGTATAAAAACCAGCACGTTAATGTGACAGTATTATACTCATAACATTTTGGCCAAGCTAACAATATGCAATTTCTGTCTGGATGGAAATTTTGATGGCTCCCTATTTGCAGAGAATCTGTTAGGCCAGATTTAACCTGTATGGAATGTGAGGTTTGTGAGTGGCAGGTTGTTTTGTTTGGCAGTCTAGATGTTTAAGCCAGCATCTTCAAGCCCCCTTTGGGTTTCTTGCTCAGCCTGTAAGATTTTCCCACCATGAGCCAAACCTGTGGTCTGTTTGTAGATTACAAATCCAAAACAAAGACACAAACTACAGTCAGGTTGAGAGCTTTCAAATGCAACTTCAACATGGCCTAGAACAAAAACTCTTCTGTTTCTATTTCTGCTCACCAGACAAAGCACGTACATTCCTTGCACTAGCTGATGCTGTAGAAGGTGTGTATGTAAATATGAGGAGACGAAAGCACAGATGATCTCATTTTGCCCTTAAACTCCCCTTTCCTTTTAAATATTTTTTAAATAAATCATGGTCAGATGATATGAAATCTCAGAGGGCAAGATGCTAAAAAGCAGGGTTAGGGTAACCCAACGTCTAGTGGATGGTGTTATGAAAGGAAAGAACCCATTTCACATGCTATAGGAATCTGTGCTTCTCCAACAGAGCAAGTCTTCAAACCGTATGCGGTAGCTGCTCTGAAGACTATTGGTGTGGTCTATATCAGCTGTGGAGATGAGCACACTGCAGTGCTCACCAAGGTATGCTCCAAATCCTTCTGTGTGATGCGCGGCCAGGCCATGACTGTCTACAAATAAATGTGTGTGCACGCACGCATGCATGAGCTCATGCTTAGTTGGTATGATGGCACAGCAAGGCTTAAGGGTCTGTATTTGATTTTGGGGTGGAGGGATTAGAAGACCTGGGCAGTGCTAACCTTGTGCGAAGACCTTAGGCCTCGTAACTTTCACTGAGGTCTCTGGGATGTTTATGTGCTCAAGGATGTCCGGGTTGCACGTTGCTACAGCCTCTGGCGTTGGAAACCCCTGCTGGGTGTTTACGTGAAAAAGAACAAGGGCAGCTTAAGGTTATGGGACCCTGTCTTGCTCCCATTATATTCAATGGAAATTTTGCCATTGACCTCAGTAAGTGGAGGATTGGGCCAAATCCTGCTCATCTTACTCAAACCTATGATGGGACTACTCAGATGAGGAAGACAGGAAGTAGGATATGGCCCAAAGTGCTGTATAACCATGAAAATCTCCATTATCAATGGATAATTCAAGATGCTTTGGTTCCCAAAACAGAGCTTTTGGAAACACCCTACTTATAGCGACTGTTTTGTAGTTTATCTTAAAATTAACAATTATTCCACTATGTACAAACAGATGTAATAACAAATGTAAACAGGTTTTGTACTCTAGGAAAATGTTGGTATTTTGGAAATTTTTAAAAGAAATTTTACTTTCAGCCTAAACAAAGGACTTCTAATGAGAATAGAAATGGAATATGTATTTTTTTCTAGTACCAAAAGCTGTTTTCTGAAAAATTATCAAAAATTAATGGAAAGCACATGAAGTAAAAGCAACATCCTTGCACTACTTCTGACGTAGAAATGTTCTCCGACCAGCTAGTGCATATGTTCAGTAGGTTGCTTTTCCCTGGATCGGTGTGCTTGTAATCCACTGTGTGTGGGGGGGGGTTTGACCCCCATTATTTTGGCTACGCCTTACAAGAGGGTATAAATCTCTCTCTTCCATACAGGGAATTTAGCCCTTTACCTCAAGCAGCAGGTTCATGCTTTTAGTATGAGAAATCCCAGGTTCAAACCATGCTGACAGCCCAAACTGGATTAGTTTACGTGCCCACTGTGAATATGATCCTTCCTTGGTTTCACTTGTGTATGGCTAGTTTGTATCATCTTCTCTCAACAGTCTTCAGGTTTTCTTCTTTTTTGCTGGAGGGGTTAAAAAGAATTAGGAGGTGAAAGTCCCATAACCATGGCAAACTAAATTTGCTTTTGTTTCAACAGGATGGCAGTGTGTTCACATTTGGAGATGACAGTGCTGGACAACTGGGACATCGCTCTTCAACCCAGATGCCTGGTCCTCAAAAGGTCAAATGGATAGATGGTCCAGTTTCCCACTTGGCATGTGGAAGGTGTATACTGTAGCTTGTATGTTTTTCATAATAGTCACATTTTGCAAGGAAAAATAATATTGTTTTCTAAAGGAAGATAGACAATGTTGGGTCTTTTTTTTTTTTTTTAACCAGTTGTGTGCCCATTAAAAGCAAATAACTGCTTCAATATAAAGCTAAAGTTGCACAGTTACAATCTTAAGGTCAATTAGTGAAGAAGTTACCCTCCAGTTCTGTGAGAACACAGATACATTAGGTGTTTGCAGCAGCCGGTAGAAACAGAGTTTTAGGGTGAAGTTCAGTGGTATGCTCTGACTGCTTTGCACTCATTCCTTCACTAGTAAACAGTAAACTTCTGTAAACCCAGCTTTAACTGGCCTATGAAACTGGATTTCTTGCTCCTTGTCATCACTGGAGGGATGCAAAGCATTCAGAGTATTCCAGTAAAGCCGGCTCTTAATGTATAATTATAATACAACTTGGATAAGCAGATTAGACACTCCTGAGGTAGTTCTGCTGTCTGGATTTTTTTGTGGATGGTCTCTATATAGCAAATTCTAGAGGGTTCAGAGGTCTGATGCATACTGTAATATGAAATAAAAATAAGGCAGGGCATTTATGTATAGTGTATGTATTGCTCTTCATTGATCTCAAATTGTTCTGCAAATCAAGGGCCAAGCTGAAGTCAAATAAGGCAAATAGGCCTTGGTCACTAAGTAGTCCTTCTCAGACAGGAACACTGAGTTACACTGGGACTGGGACTTACTGAATGTCTCACAGTCTGCAGTGGTGAAGAATAAAGCCCATCTTGTCTGATTCCCAGTGCTGTGCTCCAACCACTAGATGTCCTAGTGAATTTGTAGAAGTGCCTTTATAACCCTGTTTTACCATCAGCTGACTCTTATTGACTGGAAGGGAGAACAGAGAGTTTTCTGTGACAGGTTTGTAACAAATTATCTCTTCTCTTTGGCAGCTATCACACCCTGGTCTATATGTCTACTTCTGGGCAGATTATATCTTTTGGACGTGGTCCCCAAAGACACATTGAAAATGGAACAGCCAGTAACCCAGGGGAGCAGATACAGAACTTTGACATCAGCAGCCTGGTTTCAGCTAACGGTACTGATTATAAGTGGAAATATGTTTGGTTTTACACAATGCATAATGAATCCGTGGAACTCATTGCCACAAGAGATAATTGAGGTCAAGACCTTTAGTTGGATTTAAAAAAGGATTTGGCACTTACTTAAATAACAAAAACATTATCAGTAATATTAGATGGTATTAGAATATCTATATTTAGAAGGAATATAAAGCCCTCATGCTTCATGGCATAAATCTAACACTAACCTGGACTACGAAGAAACGGATGATATCATCACTGTAATATAACTGTCATGTAATTATTTTCAAAAAACAGAGAATATCCAATGAAAATATATGGGGGAGTAAAATGTTGTGGCTCTTGCCTGTATTTTTCTGTAACATCTCCCAGGGTCCAGTCCTGTAACATGCTGAGCAGCTGCTGGACATTTCTTAGCCCTCTCAATTCTCTTGACTTTAATGGGAGCTGCGGGCATTTAGCAACTTGCAGGTCTGGGGCCAGATCCAAAACCCCACTGAAGTCAATAGAAGGACTTGCACTGGCTTCAGTGGGCTTTGGATCAGTGCCTAAGGCCCAAGAGAATAAAGTAGCAGCATAAATAGCAGCAGTAGACGTTGAGGATTTGCGGTTGATCTGATTCGTATTCTTGTAGATCTGTCGGGCGTCCAAGTAAAAATGATTTTTGCTGGAACGTATGTCAACTTCGTCAGTACTCTTCAGTCCCAGGTAGTGATACCCTGTCTTGTAGATTTCATTTAACTCATGTGTTTCAGTGATGGTGGGCAGAATTGCAAGCAGTATATCACTAGCATGTTAGCAAATGTAAGCTTTATTCATTTTAAAATAGAGATGTCGTGTTTATGGAGAAAGGGTTGGAAGCAATTAACAGCTGCAGCAGTTTTTGCCAAGCAGTAGTTAGCAAAACACAAAGGGGAAAACGGTAATTTCCAGTTTATAACTCAGCCAAATCTGAATAGATTTACATGGGGCCCACAAAAGACACCTCCCTGACCCTTAAGTTTATTTCCTTGTGAAGTTTCAGTTTTGCTGGCTATAAACGATGAAGGCATTTGAGGTCTTAATTAAAGTTCTTATTACTTTTTTTATGGGAAGTATTATGCAACTTTAATATTTGCTCTCAGTAACTTTTTTCTAAAATCATATTTTATGGGCCAGACCCTGAGCTGCTGTCAGTGATCATGACTGCATTGATTTCAATGAAACTTTGTTGATTTGGCATGAGGATCTGACACAGTGTTTTAAGAAAGGAAAATCCATTCCTTAAATGTACTCAAGTATATGAACCAATGTTGTTTTTAAAGGAAATATATAACAAGATTGTGTTGCAAGAGTAAATCACCCAGTGTTAACCTAGCACACAGAGAATGGTAGAAAGAATCAGAGTTACAGTGGTGGGTATAATTCTGACCATAATCTCACAAGGAGGAAGTTGAGATTGAAGAGCTGCAGTATGGGCTGATGATAATATTTGGTACTTACATTGAGCTTTGCATCTTCAGTGTTCTGTAAAAACATTAATTAACCATAGCAATAGACTAGTGATGATTTATGGCTTTGAGCCCTTTGGAGAATAGTGGTTCTCCATGGATGCTCCGTTAACCATAAGTCACCCACAAAGCCCTTCCTGGTAGTCTGCTGAATGAAATAGGTTGGAGCTAAGTGATGGTTGTTGGAGCAGGAGGAGGTCCAGGTGAGACTGGAAGTTTTCATTCAGTAATCTGAAGTTAGTTAGAACACAGCTCATTTATCTATATTGCCTGGTTCAGGCTAGGAGAGCCAGTTGAGCAGAGAAGATCCTCCAGTCATCAGCTCAAGGATTTCTCAAGCAGCTCACTTTAATTTCCGGAAAGTGTGATCCATAAATACAAAGCAGATCTGGAGACCCACAGTGGTTGGTAGGAAACTGTGTGGTCCCCTAACTCCTCTCCCTCCCCCCACCCCTCAATTTAACAATTTTAATATCCAAAACCTAGTTAGTGGCTCTTTTCCTGTATTCACCCTTCTTCCTCTCTAGAATTGTGTCCAGATCATTCTAGGGCTGGTTCCACTCATATGGATGTCAATAGCAAAACTCTCATTGACTGCAATGGGAGCATGGTTTTAGAATTGGTTGCTATCTCAAAGAACTGGTTGGCATAGAGAATCAATGCAGGAGCTTTCAGACTGTTACTACAATATACCTTAACCCGTGTCCTTTTTCATTTTGCTAACTCTTGGATAGATGATAAGGGATACTGTGAAGAGGAAAATTGGTGACCTTCAGGAGCTAAAATTAAGTTGAGGGATCCTAGGTACAGTTGGGTGCCATCTCTAAGGGTTAGTAATGATGATCTCCTTCTGCTTCAGAATCCAAGGCACGAGAATTGCATGTATTTATTGCTTGTCCTCCCACTCTGTTACAAAAAGTAAATAAAAACAAACATTTTCTTTTCAATTTGGGAAGCATCAGGGACATCATGGTAGTACACTCAAATAAACCTACTTTAATGTCAGGAAGAGTATTACAAGATTAGAGAACTGGTAGTTTCTCCATGTAGCCTGTTGCATTTACCTGCCTAATGCAAATGCAGGGTCTTCAGTTTGAGCAAAAGTGGGAGCAGATTTGATCAATTGCTTTGTAAAAAGCTTATTTGCAGTGATGATTTATAATTTTATATACACTCATATGTTGTATCTTTGCTTTTTGGTTTTATTTAAGGATCTTGAGCATGCACATGGGATCTCTTCCACAGATACCCTGCCGAAGATTAGCAGGCTTGACAGGACATTGATAGATAAATGGTTGGCAGTGACAGCTGGCACTGATGAATTCCAGGAGGCTAAAAGGTTGGTGTCTACCACTTTTCTACATTATGGGATGAGAAGACTTGTCTTTAGACTCTTTTTATAGTCAATGTACTAAAAACTGATTCATAAACTTTAAACAAAAGTAGGGTCTGTTTTACTGCCTTTACCTAGGTATGGGCCTAGTAGTTTCAGTAATGTGCCCATACCTAGCCTATAACGTGGCTGTCCTACAATTTAGCCAGCCTTGTATGAACACTCTTTGATGACAATCAGCCATGATTAAACACTGTTTCTGAACTCAGTTCTTTAATGGTTTTTCATTGAATCATCAGATACCTGTTTGCTGCTGAATGGGAATGGAAGCAGACTCTAAACTGACTTGAAAGACACCCTCTCATTTCGTTTGGAGTCAGATTAGATTCTAAAGGCATGATGCAAAACCCGTTGAAGTTAATGGAAAAACTGTCTTCACTGGGGTTTAGATCAGGCCCTGAGAGAGAATAAAAATCCTGCAGCAAACCGTATCTTCCTCTAAAGGACATGTCTTAAGAAAGCATCTTTTGGCAGTAGAAAATTCATCATGCAAATAAAACAGACACAAATGTGCTCTCTTAATATCTTAAATAACAGAGTAATTGCTTAAGATTCAATCTTGTAAATGTCTGAGTGCTAATACATTGACCTACTAAGTGGCATAATTGTTTAATGCCTACTTTCTTGTATTATTGTGCCTTTTGTAGGGAAATAGCCCTGATATTTTCTTCTCCTGCTTGTTTAAGTGCAAGTTTTTTAAAACCCAGGTAAGTGATACTTTCAATGCCATTCTTTGCTAAGTTTAAACAAGAAGCTAAAATTGTAAGTGAACTAAATTATGAAGGCAAAACCCTATCCCTGTATCCAGAAGATGTACTTGCTGGGCTTAGGGGTGGCAAGGGAGTTAAAGCAGAGCAGTAACAGCCATTTTAAAGTTTGAATAACTGTCATGTTGCTGCGGGACAAGAAGATTCCAGGTAGCAAAGGGGGATTATGTAGTTGTGATACACTCCGCTACTTCTTTAATAAAGGAACACCATTCAATACGCTGAATCCCCAGCAGTAAATGCACTAGGCAGCCAGACACCCAACCATACCACTAGCCAGCAGACCATGCTTGTCAGCTGGCCAGACTACTGGCCTCCTCAGCATTTTTAAGTGCTCAGTAAGAATCCTGACCACCTAGTCTGTGAGTGTGCTTAGGGGTGTGTTGGAAAATGCTCCCTTTCTCCTCTTCCCACTCCTTCATCCTGGGCAGGGCAGATCTAGCCCATGGAAGTTATCTGAGTTTCCTAAAGCTTTAATTTTAAAGTACCTGAATAAGAATTGCAGAAACAAGCTGTCGGCTGAGCTAAGATGTGTTCTCATACTCTTCCACTTCACTTAGCAGTTCTACAGCTCTAAGGCTAACAAGAACCCTTCGGGGCTTTTTACAGAGCTACAACAATTCTAAGCTTGTTTATGTTAAAAAAACAAACAACCAAAAAAACAAACCCACAGGTGTATCCTATAGTTTTTGCTGATTTAGGGGACAGAGTTGGTATTGTGCTATTGAGCCTAAAGAGTCACTGGTTCAAATCCAGCTCATTAAAATAGTGACTGACACTTGGGACCGTCTGAGGGCTGTTTGGTGGCAGTGTGACCTGAGCAGGTCGTCTTAGGTTATTTCCCGGACAGTGGACCCTTGTCCATGTCACAGTTGGAACTGGCCCTCTTTTTTAACAGTCTCAGCAGAGTGACCAAGAATTGAATGGGCACAAATACTCAGCTGTCCTCTCCCCCTTACAGGTGATGCTTGGTTGAGGCACGCTGACCGGGCATTGTGGGAAAGCTTGCATTGCCACTCTCTGCCCTGTGGATGAGCAAAGAGATCCAATTTCTAGGGCTGTCAGTTTGGCACATTGCACAGCACTAAATTCTGAAGAAGAACCTTTTAAAAATCAGTACATGCTAAAAAAGGAAAGAGCATTTGCTAGAAAAGATTTAAAAAAAAACCCTAAAACCAAAATGTAACCATTGAGGTATATTGCAGCATCCTCCTTTATTATATAAAATGAGGTGTATTTTTTTCCTAATCACCTTAGCTCTGCTTTGGAAGCAAATTGTATTGGTGTTGATCTACAAAAGGCGAGGGACGTATTTGATGAGCTAACCAAAAAGGAATGGATTGTTAACCAGGTAAAACATCTTGCAAGTTTTTGTGCAAATTACATCCAGGGTATAACTTAATTTAACAGGTCATCAGGGGTGCACAGGCTTGGTACTCTGGAATTACTCTGAATGAAGTTGAGACAGGACCCTCTTGTAGTGTGACACCGTGCAGGGCACACACTCCCGAGGGCACAACTCCTTGGCTTCAGCATCTCCTGCGTCTGACCTTGGAGTGTTCAGTACCCTTTTCATGCTGTGAGCTCCCTGCAGTGAATAGGGTACCTGGGAAAGCCTTCCATACAGCCCCAGGGGCCACAAACCCCCAACTTTGCAGTCAGCAGTGACTCTCAGCCGACCTTGTAAAACAGAAGGGTTTCTTAGTCATCTGGAACACAGTACAGAACAGATCTTGTTAGCACAGAAAGTAGGAAGATTCAGCAAAGTCCAAATTGGGGAGCCCTAGAGCCCTGGGCTCTCCCCCCACAAGTCCCAAACCAGGAGACTGACCTGCTTCCAGCAGCTCACCCTCAGTTTCCCCTCCTCCGTCTTTTGATCTGTTTCCAGGTCTTCTTGCAGAGGGTGAGGCCCGGCTATCAGTTGCCAGGACACAGAATGTCTGTCCATTGTCTGGGCCCAGGGTGCTAGGCGGCAGTCACACGTGCCCTCTAGGGTCTCTGCACAATCACCCACCCTTGTTCCACCACCTAGATACTTGTGCAACATATAGGGGAAACTGAGGCACACACCGTATTCCTATAAAACATTAAGTAAATTCCCACTTCACCACACAGGAAGCTACTGATTAATTTAATTAATTAACTTGCAAGGGAATTTTTCTTTGTGTGTTTGGGGAAGACATGAAGGGTCTGTAATGCCATCTGCCAAAGTTGCTCAGGACAAGCGTAGGATCCAAACTCTGCTCCCTGTGCAGTGATGCGTTGCACTTGGATATGCTAACACATGGACTCTCCTCATAGACTGTTAATCTCCCTAACCCTCTCATCTCCCAAAGTCTTCACCGCCCAAGTATGAGGAATTGTTTTTAAACATAAAAAAGAGGTAGCTGGCCAAGTATATGAGAGGATGGGGACAACTCTTTATCCCATGTCGAAATCACCCTGAGTGTGGTATAATGTCAAAAGTATTTCTGTGTTTTAACACCATGACTTTGGAATTGGGAGACAGACAGGAAACAGAGCAGCAGCACAGCTTCCAAATCATTGGGATAGTTTAGGCATTTGGGCCAGTAAGCGGCTCCTCATCTCTGAATAGAAAGGTGCAAAATAGTCCTTAGGAATCAGTTTTAAGTATTAAGTTTTACAATTGATAGTAAGTATCCAACAACTCTAACAAACAAACCTCTCTTCATCCCTTTTTACCCCAATTTTAACATAGATTATTTTTTATTTTAACTGCATCTAAACTCTACATAAAAAAACTCTTTTTTGCAAAGTTTCGAGTCCAGCATTATGCCAGGTAGAAAGTATTGGCTTTATTGTATATGGCACTGCAAATCATTCTCTAAATGCTTTCTCTCTTCCACCTTTCTTTATTTGATTTTATTGCATACAGATAAATCCCTATCTGTTGGCTGATCTGATTCCTGGTCTTCCACTGCGTTCTCCTCATCATGAGGCTTTATCTATTTTCCTACTCCTGCCAGAATGCTCTGTGATGTACAAAGAACCGAACTTGGAGCCTTTTGTTATGCGACTTGCACAGGCCATTAATACCATGAGTGACCGTTCCTCAGACATTCTGGGTAAGGTTGTTTCACTTTGAGCCTGAGGAGAAGCCACTGCCTGAGATGGTAACTTCAGCACACATTTTAAAATGACTTAATTAGGACACGGTTAACATACTGGTGCAAACATACAAAGTGATCATTTTAGCCTCGTCCCTTCACTACTTGTGGATAGTGCTGCTGTCCCAAAATCTTCATATGACATGTGTGTGAGAGAGAGAGGGAGAGAGTTTTATTCTCTCACACAACTTTTATTAGTTAGAGCCAAAGGTGCTAGATTGCATAGTCAATCAATGCAAACCCTAAAAAGCAAGGAACTAATGTATTCTACACTCCATCTACACTCTACTCCTCAGCTCCTCTTCTCAATTTCATGTGCATCTGTTCCACAACTCACGGACCATATATCTCCACCTTCATCCTAAACAACCAGTGGGCTCACTTTCTTGTTGTTGTATCTACTACCAGGCCTAGAAACCCTCGACACACAAGCTCCTGGTCCATGGGGCACTGTACGCACAGAACAAAAAGACAGTCGCTACCCCAGAGGGCTTACAATCTAATGATAAGACAAGATAAATGAGGTGGACGCGGACAGACTGGCGAGCATAGGAAACAATGAGATAATATTGGTCAGCGTGATTGGCAGTGGTCTCAGCACACCAGTAGCCCCGTTGTTGTCAGGGATGTATAGGCACCTTGGCAGTGGGGTTTTGAAGGAGGATAATGAGGCAGCTGTGTGGATGTTTATGGTACGCACTCCCAAGCCTATGGCGCAGCGTGGAAGAAAGCATGAAGGTGCTTGTTTGAAAGTTTAACAAGTGGACAGTGGAGGCTGGCATCATGGAGGCAGGACTCAACCTTTCGATACTGAATGAGAGGGTAGGGTAGGGTAGGGTAGGGATAGATTGTGAAGGGCCTTGAAATTAAGGACAAGTAACTTTTATGTTTGATACAATAGAGAAGAGGGAGCCAGCAGAGAGGGACTCAAAGAGAGGGATGACGAGCCTTAGACGGGCTAGGAAAATTACCCTGGAACTCTGGTTATTGGCCTGAGGTGGTCGTAAGTTCACATGTTTAGGCTTGGTGTTGCTCTCATCTGCTGTAGTTTTGTATGTGTGTTTTATATGAGTGGGTGCAAATAGCTGAAGTATGGTGTCTGATTGCATTTAGTGGCTGCATTGTTTCCCTCCAAAACCACGTTGCATTAAAAAACACTTTTGAATCATGTATCGTTCATAAGTATGCAAGCTGCAAGGTGTGTTTGTGGAGGAAGGCTGGGACGTGTGTGTTTCTTTAGAGATTTTTGTTTCATTGTTTTTTTGGCAGGGGAGTTTCATTTACAGGAATATTTTCCCCTCATATTTCAGAAGAATGCTGGTCATCCTTGTCAGCATCCTTTTTGGACAATGTGGTGCAGATGTTGAAAAAGGCTGTAGTATCTCAGCTGCCATATTACGCCTTCCCCCGTTACCAGGACACCAAACCTCTCCTAGAAGTGCTTGAAAAGCTGTACAGAGTAAGCATGTCTAGTCTGAATAACTGCACAGAGAATCGTCACCGGTTCTAAGCAAACATGTGCATCTGAACCCACATTTTGTTCCATTTCAAGGCAAACAGGAAGGCTAACTACACGCTACAGTTAAGCAGTTTTTACATAGATGAAATCTCCGGAACATTTATTCTTTCAAACGATGTATGGAGGTGGCGCTCATGGCAAGTTACAGCTGTGAGTATGACCTTGTACCATCTCCTGGTTATTCCAGAGTTTCTCAGGACAATGGGTGGTTAAAAGACAGCAGTTTCTTATTATGGTAACACCTAGCACCTCCAGCTGAGATGAGGGCCAGACTGTGCCAGGCTCTGAACAGACACTAAGCAATAGACTGTGTCTGCCCAGAAGAGCTCACAATCTAAATAGAGAAACACACACAAACATGGGAGGGGAAATAGAGGCGCAGAGGGTTGAAGTGACTTGCCCAATTGCACCCAGTAGGTCAGTGACGGAACGAGGAATAGAACCTTGGTTTCCTGACTCCCAATCCAGTGCCATAACCATTAGACTCTGTTGCCTACCTCTGAAATGTCTAACCTTAATCTTCACTCCATATTGTAGCCGTGTTTTGATTTTTTTTAAGTCTGGGTTTAGTTGCAGTACCTGGTTGGTGGGGGAAATGCACCCCAGAACCTGCCCTTGATGCACAGCAGCTAATCCAAAGGGGTAGAGGGACAGTTATAATTCCCTCCTAGGCAAGAAAGGGAAGGAGACTGCAGTCTTGCAGGGCCATTTTTTTGTGTGGGGAGGGAGGAAAAAGGGTGAATCCATGAGTTAAGAATGCGGAAAGTGGGACTTACCTGTTTTATTTTTAAGTATTCAAAAGATATGTACCATTCTCCTTGGTAGAATTCGTGTCATGAAGACCACGTTCCTGTCATATTCTGCCGTTTCCCTTTTATCTTTAACTTGGTTTCCAAGATTCATGTGTTCCACCTTGATTCATTTTTCATGCAAGAGGTATGACCTGGTCTCTGTATACTCTGAAACACAGTTTATGTTGGTTTGTTTTTTGTGGGCCACAGAACTAGAGTGACATTTCAACCCCAGGAGCATGTGCTAAAATGAGGGGCTTAGAATGTATTCACTTTTTTTTTTTTCTTCCAAACTAAGGCTATGGCTAAACTACAGAGCTTACCGTGGTGCCGCTGTAACACTGCTTGTGCAGAGTCTATGCCGACAAGAGGGAGCTCGCCCGTCGACTTCATGACTCCAGCCCCCGCGAGTGGCAGTAGCTATGTCCATAGCGCTGTCCACACCAGCACTTAGGTCGATGTAACTTACGTCGCTCCTGGGGGTGGCTTATTCACGCCCCTGAACGACACAACTTATGCTGACTTAAGCTGTAGTGTAGCCATGGCCTAAGTAAAGTATTTTCATGACCCACCAGGTGCTATCACTTGCCAATGTAGAGTATTTTGCTGGAGAGGTTTATATTTTCTTCTTGGGGAAAAATGGCATCGGTTGTTCAAATACTATACTAACATGATCGACCCTGTAACATGACATGGATCAGTGTGGTTTTAGATTCGGGGGTGAAGGGGGGAGAGGAAAAGAACTTGTAGTGGAGTTTGGGAGCATTGTCTCCCAGGACAATTTTTGAAAATACACTTGCAGTTCAGTGGAATTTAGTTCATTATAAGGTGGGGGAGGGGATTTGTCCTAATTTCCCTGTGTCTTGGTGGCAGAATTTTAACAAAGGGCTTCTGGAGCCTTGGCCAGGACCTTGCTGCTATTCCTATAGGAGAAGAGTAGTTCCCCCTAAATGAGAATTATTTAGATCTTATTAAGTGTTGCCACACTGCATCAGCATTCTGAACCCTCGGTGGTGGGGGCGGGGGTCTGACCAGGCTCAGGAGTGTTCCTATGTGGATTGAATTGCAGGATTTGGGGCCATTTTGATGTAACAAAATTTGATGTAACGGAATTTGCAATTGAACATCAGAAGTTACTCCTTTAACCATCACTTAAGTCTTCTTTTACCAATGGGTGTTTTGGTTTGCCATAGAGAGACAAGGTGGGTGAGGTAATATCTTTTATTGGACCAACTTCTGCTGGGGAGAGAGACAGGCTTTTGAGCTTACACAGAGCTCTGGTGAAAGATATGAAAGTCTTACAGCTAAATATGAGGGGGATCAGTTTTAGCATAAGCAGTTAACATATTTCAAGGGACCATACCAGGTGAAGTGTCCAGTTAACACCCCTCCAGTCATGGAAGCCATGAGTGTGTGTGTGTGTGTGTGGGGGGGTAGTGGGTTATAGATAGTTGCAATAAGCCATAAATCTATGGTTTGCCATAGTCATTTCTGACATGGTTTCCTGGAAAATGACTCTTTTGATATGGAGTTAATTCACATTTTTATCTAACTCTCCTTATAAAAGAAGTTCTAATTATGCTGTATGACGTGAATACCAGTTACTTCTAACACAGTAGGTTTCAAATGAAAGAAAATGGGTGTGCAATGCAATGCAATAAGTTAGTGTTTAGAGCTGGGCAAATGTCACATAGAGGGGGAAATGTTGTACCCATTATCACTGCAGTATTTTTTTCAGGCAAGATACTGGAAATAGTTATATTTTCATTCTTTTTTACGGTGTGAAGGCAGAAGCCCAGTTCATACTGACACAGAATGAACGGCTGAGAGAGAGTGAGCTTCCTGCGTTGCCTGTTTTTCCTCTGCTAGTTAAACGCAGCAACCTGGTTGAAGATACTTTACGTAAACTAAGTCTGGTGGAGGACAGTGTCCTGAAAAAGCAGTTGTTGGTATGGTGCCTCGTCATGTTCTTCCTACTTAGCAATACTGGGGAGATTAGAGAAACTGTATAGCTGGTTGGAATTAGGGCTGATGGAAAAATTTCTGTTTAAACTGCCTCTCAATTACCTGAAATTATTTATGAAAAGTGCCTGCTTTCCACAAAAATGTTGTCATGTTTTAGTTGGGGGGAAAAAATGAAAACTTTTTGGGTGAAAACCCAAAAACATTTTGGTTTCCGTTTTTGATGAAAAGTCAGAATCTTCCATGGAAGAAAAAACATTTTCTGGTCATTTCTAGCTAGCATGCACCGGAAGACAGGTGCCTAATTAGCCAATTAGCAAGGATCGGTTCAACGCATTAGGCAGATTTTTATACTTGGTCACCCTCGACAGCTTTGAAAATTTTAAACAGGGTTTTGAGATTTTAACCATATGATCCCCCCTATTAACAAAGATCAATTACTGCAAGGTTTGTGGTCTTACATGTGCACGACCGTGAACATTTACCCCTCTCTGTTAACACTTCCTGCCCTTGGATCGGCATGACACCACAGCTTGTGGTTCTTCATTAGAATGCAGGCTGACTTGGTGTGGCTTGTCTATTGCTTTGTCATGGGACCTCAGAGGGCTGGTGAGTTCAAAAGCCAACTTCAGCTTATCTTGAGAAAAGAAGAGAGAGCAGCGTGTCTCTAAGCAGACCTAACTTGTACTGTAGCAGTGTGTTGTGGACATCATTTTTCAGGAGGTGGAGGAGGGAAAGGAGGTGAGTCACAGTTCAAAAGAGAGGTAAGAATGGCAATTTGTAAGAGCAGGAATGATGAAGTCTTCCCAAATCATCCCTTTGCAGAGTTGTTTCTGCTCTGGTCTTGGAAAGGGCTGATTACTTCAGACCCTAAAGCCATGCATACGCTGCACTTAGTAGTTTGACTCCAGCAGTAAGGGATGAATGTGGAGTTGATTGTTCCATTTCTGGGGAAATATTAGTCTGCAATGACTTTGGAACAACGGCCACAAAGAATAGCCATCTTTCTCTGTGTTTCTGCAGGTGCAATTTGAAGGGGAGTTGATGGGCCTGGATGCGGGCGGAGTGACGTTAGAATTCTTCCTGTATGTATTTGAAGAGATGGTGAATCCACAATATGGGATGTTCATATATTGTGACCCTGCGTCCCCAATGTGGTTTCCTACCAGCGTAAGTCAGAATCTGCTCAAACCATTCAGGGTCAAGCGACAAAGGAAGTAATTTGCATTTTGACTCCAAGCTTCCTTACCTTCTGCACGGTAGCTGGAGTCGGCAGGGGAGGGTCTTGGAAGGCTGTGGCAATTTTCCAGAGCAGAGGGTCTGTGCCACCTGGGTGTTTTATATTGCGGAATTGGAGAGGGTTCAGAGAATGATTAGGTGCATGGGAAAATTTGAATGTAGAGAGATTTCGAAGACTGGCACTTAGCTTTGTTTACCGTAGAAAGGAGGGGACATGATTAAAGCACATAAATCAATGAATGCTCTATACATGATAAATAGTGAGCTTTGTTGTCTCACAACACAAGAACAAGGGGATGTTCAACGAAACTCAAAAGTATTGAAGGAAATAATTTTCCATTCAGTGAGTAATTAGACTGTGGAGCTCTCTGTGGCTAAGAATTTAATGAGATTCAGAAAGGGACTGGACATTTATATGGATTACAAGTTTATCCAGAGTTATAATAGTACAAATAATAGTTTTTAAAGGGATAAAAATCTCATGCCTCATGTTTTACATCATTCTCTAGATAGTAGGGATTAGGATGAGATCTTTATGAGAGGCAGATTATACCACTTCTACCTCCTGTGGGGGTTCTTGCCGCTTCTGACTAGCGGGACTTCTGATCCAGGTCTGGCAATTCCTGTATTCCTACAAGAAATATTGTCTAAGAAATAAATTTAGAGAACTTTAACCACTCAGACTATATTCCCTGGCTGACCACAGTAATTAACCAGACCACAGCAATGTGTGTGTTACTGTTCTATATACTGACACTTTCCATTAGTAAACAAATTGTAACTGATCCTCAGAGTGCATCTCTGAGAGTTCAGGTGAGCTGCAGTCAGATGGGGGACCAGTTCCATGGTCTAGAATTCTGAATGACTGGTGCTCCCAGGCTAACTATGAGCATAGTCAAAAACAATTAAATTCCTACAATCAGTGGGAACTCTTCAAGTGGTCAAATGCTGCTTTTGTACACTTTATCTGGCAGTGGCCCAATTCATTCTGTGTCCTTACTCCTTTGTGAAATTTAGTTTTATTGCTCAGCAATATCTATTTTTATCAGGGAGGGGAAAGAAAAAAGGTAAATACCTTCACCTCGATTTCCAAATAAATGTGAACAAAAAAGGGGAAGATGTAATGCAGCAAATTAAGTCTAAAAGACTGCTTTTCAAGCTAATTTTGCTCATTAATTGCCGTTGGTTTGCACTCTGTGAAGTGATAGTGTGTCAGACACCATCTTGGCCGACGCGCCAGGGATTAAAAGCATGAACTGCTACAGCTTGAGTTAAAGAGCCAAGGTGTGCTCGGGGGGCCTGAAACGGACTCTTGTCCTTTGCAGATGAGCCACAGAGTGAGACCTCTAACACATTCCCCAGTGAGACACAAGAGGACAATGAAATCCACTGATGGCAGATCTGTGGCTAATGCATGCCCCAAAGTTGCCAGATGCCCTCTCTTTACCAGTAGCCTGATTCAGTTCTCCTTAAAGAGTCTCACTGACTTCAGTGGATCTTGGATTGGGCTTCAAAACAGAAGCAGGCCTCTTATTCCAGGTGTCCCACCCCCTGCTTAGGGTTCTGTCCTCCTCCCATCTGTTTCAATGGGAGTTTTGCCATTGACTTGAATGGAGCAGGGTTGGAGCCTTCGGGAGCATCAGAAGGTTCTGGTGGCGTCTCTTTAAACATAGTTTCAGCTCTTCTTAATGACTGATAGGTTTTGTTGCTGATGATTTTGCTTTTTCTTAATTACCGAAACAATAATGTTTAAAAAATTTGCAGGGGGAGTTACATTTTGCACCGATTGATCTTGACATGGTGCCCCTTTAACTAATATAAAAAATTCTGTCATTAACGTTTTTAGGGCTCAAAAATGAACCAAAAGATTTACTGTAAATTTTGTCTTTCCAATCTCTCTATTCTGGCTTGTTTAGTTTTTTCTGTTCCATGACCTACTACTTACTTGGTTCTCCAGTTATAATTTTGCAACGCTTGTTTTTTTTCCAGTCTTCAGTAGAGAAGAAAAAGTATTTCCTCTTTGGGGTCCTATGTGGGCTCTCCCTGTTCAATAGGATCATTGCCTTCATCCCTTTCCCACTCGCTATTTTTAAGAAACTTCTGGATAAGAAGCCTTCGCTCGAAGATTTGAAAGAGCTGAGTCCTGTGGTAGGGAAGTAAGTGATTTCAGCTATTGGTTCCAGTTGGATCTCTAAAGGAGTGTGTGCATATACCCACATGTATATGAATGGGCTGGATAGTTTGTTGGCTTTCACTATATTGTCTGTAGAATGGAGGAAGGATCGTCTTGTGGTTCAGACACTGACCTGGGACTTGAGGTAGGGTTCCGTTTCCAGCTCTCCCACTGATTTCCTGTGTGTGACTTTGGGCAAGTCACTTACATTCTCTGCCTCAGTTTCGTGTCTGCAAAATGGAATTAACATTTCCCTACAAAGGGATTGTGAGGATAAATTGGCTAATATATGTGAGGTATTCAGGTACTGAGGTAAAATGGGGGCTATATAAGAACGTAGATAGATGGAAGCATAAGAGTAGCAAACCTTCTGTTATTTTTCTGTCCTTGAGTTCTGTGTCAGGGTCATGCAAGCTGCCTTTGTGAGGCTCGCGTTGGCAATAATTTGCCAGCAGCACAGTTGCTCTTAAAATAGAGCAGATTGCAGTCTTGATCGAATGGACTTTTATATGCAGTCTCATAATCTCCACTCTCTGGGCCCATATTAAGAACGAGGGCTGCTGTGAGCCACACTGTAGCATTCCACACTTCGGCCACCCTCGTACCAGGTTGTCTGTCTGGCTTTGCCTATTTTTGTTGTACCTTCCTGTCGGTTGTGGTTTGATTTGGGGATTAAGGTCATGCATTGTAACAGGAGGAGAGGCATTCATGAGTACATCTAGATCCATTTTTATGTTAGAGAATCATTAGCACCATGAGCCACACAAAGCCCTAACAGTGAAGATCTACCAGACAGCTGCACATCCTGCCACACGTTACGTCTTCTCTGCTGTCTGTTTGGAACAGGAGGAGAGAATGCAGCATAGGCAGCTGTGAAATACAACATATTACATACATTGTGCTGTTGTAAGGACGTCAGCATAACTAACAGAGCAAAGCCTGAATAGCTTGTGTTGTCATCAAAGCCCAGAGATTCAGTGTTAATTAATAAATAAATAAATAAATAAATAAAAGGACAAATTACAGTTACTGGTAATTGCGCTGGACAATAAAAACATACATATAAGTGACGCAACACAAAGCAACTTATGCTTTATAACAAAACTCATTTTGACTTCTAGGAAGTTGAAATACCATATGTTTTATGGGACAACCAGACTTGAGATACAGGTTTTTCCTGGACAGTTATTGAGAAAACAACAAATTCCCAGCTTGACCTGCAGTAGGGAAGGGAGACAGATTGATGAGAAGGACAGAACTCTGTGGCATACGGTAGCAGAGATGGGGGAAGTGGGTGTAGATTTTCTCCTGGTTTTTGAGCCCAAAACTTTTCATGGTGGCCTTTGTCTCTGACATGTATTACGTTCTTCTACCCATGAGTGCAGAATTTACAATTTTTTGTTGCTTGCAACTGGAAATACGTTTAACTACAGTATTTACTACTATGGTTAGCATAATTTAATCTACAAACAATCAATAGTTTTTTTAAATTGTTGTCTACTAAACATAATGGCTCATAGTTACTACAAATAGGTAATAAATGGTTGGGATTTCACTACTCACGATGCAGGGTAATTTATCATGTGGTCTGTCATCTAACAGCGTATAAGTATATTTTTGTCTTTTTTTTTTCTTCCCACCCCCTTTAGGAGTTTGCAGGCAGTTCTAGATTATGAGTATGATGATATTGAAGAGAATCTTCAGATACATTATTGTGTGAGTACCTCTGGAAGCCATTATGATACATGTCCATTTCATTTGCTGTGCACTACAGTAGTTACAATTGCTGTCACTTTTGAAATGTTGTTCTTTGCTTCACACGGTGGATTGGGTGCTCTTACACTGCTGATGTGGTATTTAGAAGCTTTTCATGAACTTACTGCAGTTGCTTATTACTTTCTTTCCCCCCACATGCTATCCAGTTTAGGAAACAATGGCTGTCCCCTTTGGAAATTCAGAATAAGCCACTATGGGAATGGTTTTTTATCAGCTCTTTGAGGCAGGGGCAATCTTTTTGTTCTGTGTTTGTATAGTGCCTGGCACAATGGGGTCCTAGCTGGTGACTGGGGCTCCGACGTGCTTCTGCAACACAAATTATTTTCCCTGCTTCCCAATCTTTGAAAATGAAAACCCCACTTTAAATAAGATACTCGTAGGAACTAACTGATTTTGTTTTGATTAGCATGGCCTCTTACTGGAGTGACGAGCTCTTTGGCTCTGAGGCTGGTCTCTTCCAATCACAGTGGGCCAGATCTCGACTTGTTGTAAGCAAATGCAATTCCATGGACCTCACTGGTGCTGAATTTAGCCCATTCTGTCCTGTCAGTCAATGAGCAAAAGCTCTGTGTATGATAGAGAAGACCTGGGCTTGAAGGGGAGATGGGGAAAGCCAAAAAAGAGGACAAAAATCTTCATATTTTCTTTAATGCTGAGAAACATACCCATCTGAAAATGACACATAAGACTCCTACCTGTGCACATTACTGACCCACCCATGTAACAGCTATGGGAAGTCACTGAAATTGTGGTCACATTTGCACCAGGCACCTCATTCTCTCTTGCCACTATAATGCAGTTTTGAAGGTGATTGAATTAAAGGTTTCTGTAACATGCACAACACCAGTGGGAACTTTGCAGCCATACTGATTTCAAGTACCTTAGTAGGGAATTATTTAATGGAGAGAAGGTTGCCTGGATTGTTGCCTCTTCTCACAAGAATGTTTTCATGGTTTCAGGTGTCGTGGGACAACAAGGAAGTAGACCTGATTCCAGATGGCAGTTCCATAGCTGTGAACAACAAAAACAAGTATCTTAATGCAGATTGGTTTATTTAATTCTAACTGGTGGGGCTTTCACAGCCAGGCCTCAGAGACAGAGCAACTGTCCAGCTCTTTACAATAGTGTCCTTTTAAGTACTGCAGTTCTCAGTACCTACATGCCAATGATAATGAGGCAAATCCTCCTAGCTGGGAGAGCAGGGATAAGGTGGAAGGTACAGGAAAAGATTAACACTTACAAACACCGCTGTATAGAGACCTGAGCTAGCCTCTGTCCATCTCACCATCCTCTCTGTGTGGAAGGCTGGGAGTGACCATGTGTCTCCTTTTTCAGTCCCAGACTCCTCTCCCTATTGAGGTTATGTGAGCCCCTGACTTGTCACCTGATGAGCTGATTTAAAACAACTCCTCCTTTGGCACGTGTCTGTGAGAGCCTCACCAACATTTCCCCCAATGTGTGTGTGCAATTGCATGATACTGGGACTCTCTCCCTAGAAACGAGCAGTCTAAAGGCACTTGTTGCAACTTTACCCACTTCAGGGTCCCGATGAGGACACAATCCCTAATGAAGTTTTTGCCATTTTGTTACAAACTCGGGGCCAGATGCTGTGAATACTTAGTACTGAGTGTAGCTCTTACTGTCATGAGTAGTCACTGGGACTATCATGATTTCAGTGGGATAGTTCGCAGTAGTAAGCAATAAATGTTTGGAGGGTCAGATTCTAAAGTAATTCCTACCCCTGGGATACAAAACAGAAGAACGGCCGTACTGGATCAGACCAAAGATCCAGCTTATCCAGTATCCTGTCTTCTGACAGTGGCCAATGGCAGGAGCCCCAGAGAGAATGAACAGAACAAGTGATCATCAGGTGATCCATCTCCTGTCGTCCAGTCCCAGGATCTGGCAGTCAGAGGCTTAGGGATACCTGGAGGCTGGGGTTGCATCCCTGGTCATATTGGCTAACAGCCATTGAAGGAGCTATCCTGCATGAACTCACCTAGTTCTTTTTAGAACCTCGGTAGAAACTTTTCTATTATAACCACCTTTTGAAACTATTATCTGAGCCGTTAAATGAACATTTCCCTCTTCCTTAGTGTCAAAGGAATGTCAGTCAGTTTAATTCTAATAATAAGGAGAAAAATACTTTTAAAAAAAAATTACAGGAAAAATTGTGTGTCAAACTGTATCTGAATAAAAGCTATTCTTATTACTATTGTATTTCTGTGAGGTGAGGAGCAAGGTGACCAGGCAAATATATTTACTGTCCTATGTGTATGAAGAGAACAATATTGTGTGTGAGCTAAACAACATCTCTCTTTGCTTCTGTGAAGGAAGGACTTTGTCAACAAGTATGTGGATTACGTCTTCAACAAATCTGTGGAGGTGGTTTATGAGGAGTTCAAGAGGGGATTTTACAAAGTCCTGGACAGAGAGATACTTAGATTCTTCCAGCCTCAAGAACTGATGGAGGTGGCAATTGGAAATGCTAATTATGACTGGAACAAATTTGAACAGGTATGAAGGGAACAGGGGAAAGAATCTTCTCCAATATTATTCTGATTTATCCACTGAGTTTCACTTCTTTAGAGTAAACATTTTTCCTTTGTTCTATTTTGAAGAATGCAGTCTACTGGGGAATGTACACTCCATCACACCCCACCATCAAAATGTTCTGGAAGGTTTTCCATGAGCTCACAGTGGCAAAGAAGAAGGGCTTTCTCTGTGAGTATCATGTCCACCAACAGATGAGTTTATTTCTCCCAAAATCTTTCAAAATAGAGTAGTTACCATGAGCCACTCTTCCTTGGAGCAGAATTGACTCCTTTGGGGTTCTACAAAGTCTGTCCCAAAGTGTACAGTGCCCAAAGATTCTGTGCAGTAAAAATGACTTCTGAACGAAATACTCCCATTGACTTCAGCAGCCTTTGGATCAGGCTATGTGTGTGTTTAGCACCACTGATGTCAATGAGACTATACATATGTGCAGCGTTTGTAGGATCAAGGCCTTAGACTGTAAGCATCTCAACTGCAGGGACTTTGTTTATCTGTTTGGCCTTAAAGTACTATTCATGCCTATGGGGCTGTATAAATAATTTGAATATCATTCTGAAACTGTACCATTCTGAAAAGCATTATTGGAGATAAGTTTATATGAAATGTGCTATAGTAAATATTCCTTCAATGCCTATCACTTTATAAAAGATAACTTGAAATACATACTTCTAACTCTTCTTCCAGCTGAAATCTAATTCTGTTCTACTCTGTAGTGTTTCTCACAGGAAGTGACCGGATCCCTGTAATGGGAATGGACTGTATAAAGATAAAGTTCAATCCACACGTGTCTATGTCTGAAGATCACATCCCTGAAGCACAGACCTGCTTTCACATCCTGATCCTCCCACAGTATTCTACAATAGAAAGACTCCGGGAGAAGCTTCTTCTAGCCATCGATAACAATCGGGGGTTTGGCAAAAATTGAGTCACAAATATGCACAACATGCATCAGAAACAAAAATGCTCCCTAGTCTCTTTATTCTGGATTTCTTTCTGACCAAAATTCCCATTGGCATCAGGCCCGATACAGGAGAAAAACTTTGGAATAATTTACACACCACTTACAAAAACAAACCAACCCATTTTTGTTTTGTTTTAAATCTTCAGCTTCAGTTCCCAAACACCCTTGTTCAGGAGTGTCAGAATTATTTAGGGTCTCACTTACGTGAAGAAACTGATTAAACCCAAATAATATCTATGTAAGTGTAATAGTTTGACTGAGCCTCACCAAAGCTGAGAAATGAAGAGCCTAACCTAAAATAGGGTTTATAACCAAAACTATGGCATACTCTAACACTAGTCCAAAACTGCAGTGCTATAGGATGAGAATTTAACTGCCCCGTATTAAAAGCATCTAACCACCAAACTATATTAAATTACTGTTATATCACTTAAATCTCAAATTAAAAAAACACTCTAACCCTTCAGAGTATACATTTTTGTATTAGAAACTCCATAAAATATTGTCTTGAAGTTTATGGGAAGAATAGAGACTAGTCGTATATGTTACGATCAAGTATTCTTAACCCTGCATTGTATTAAAAGACAACTTAAAAGAAAAATATAAAATATCAGTGTCCAAGGAATTATTTTCTCAGTTTTCAACCTAATACAAAATTATAGCCCGTTTACTGCACGCAGAAGATCAAACAGTGAGTTCCAGTTTATAACCTTAACTTTCGTTGTTTGTCAAATTTCACTAGCTTCATGACAACTCTGCCAGTTATTGAAGCAATTTTGACCTCCTCTTTTTTTGGCAGTGTCTTAAGGAGGTAAAATTCTCTGGCCTCATTTTGATGTTAGCAACTTGCAAACACTATTCAATACAATGTAATAAGAGTGAAATTGCATGTGAATAATTCTGACCTATTTGGTAGTTGGGTGAGCAGGGTGAAAAGAATGTTAATGAAGAAAATACGTTTGATGGGATAAAGTCCTATAATATTTTTGCATAGAATGGTGTTTGTACTGTATTTAGATAAAGACAATGTAAACTTTTAGGTCCACATTATATCACTGATGTTTAAATAGAACTCCCCATTGAAATCAATGAGATCTACTTAGAAAGAAATTGCATTACATGGCCTTTTTGTTCTTAGTATTTAGCAGCACAGAATTCTGATTTCCTTGATCTGACTGCTAGTTGCATGTAGTTTGCTAATGAAAGTCATGTCAAATAAAATTGTAACCCGCTTTTATTTCCTTCATTCTTCACATTGTCTTTATTAGTAAAGAAGTCAATCATCTGGTCCTGTTGATATTACTCTAGCGAAAAAAGGGATTGAATGACCTGACACTATTTTATGTATGATGGACATCTCAGGAAAATAAAGGGATTAGGAATGGAAAAGAATATACAGGAGAGTGGAAGTAGTCACACTTCCTGCTTGGTCCCAGACTCAGCAAGATATTTAAGCACCTGCCTAACTTTAATCACATGAGTACCCCCCGTTTATTTCCACTCACATAGTCACTTAGAAATGATGCAGGAGGCTTAGTAAAAAAATGTGCAGTTTGACTAGATCTTGAACTTCTAGAAATAATGGACAAACTCCTATTGCGGATACACAAATGGCAGTGTTCTATGATGTATAATTAAGTGAAATAGATAAATTTTCACTTTATGAAAAGGCACAACATCACCTCTTCTACGTCTGTTAACTGCTTCCTACCCTGAGGGCTAAGAACTGTTTAAAAGAAAAAGCAGGAAAACTCAATATTCACATATTGTTCATTGACCTCATTCCTACAAGTGGATGAACTGTGTTTGATCAGACTTTCCAAAAAAGTTTCACCTGAGGTAGGCACAAAGCATGGAAAATTTCAGCCCTAAGGGTTAAAGTTTATCTTCTGAAAACTGGAAGTTATATCATTATAGTGTTAAGCAAACCTTAACTACAGGCATTACTACTTGTGTTGCTTGTACTCTTAAAGAAGTTTAATAGTCAACACAACATTCTCTTTGTTTGCAGAAGGGTGGCATTTTCTGATGGGTGAGAGACAACTGTTAAAAATTGCTCTTCACTCGACTGAGGCTGAGAATCAGTGGGAGAATGCATCCTTCATAAACTGCAACTCCAGGACTGACAGGTGGAGGTGGGAAGAAATGCAAATTCAGATGGATGAGAGAAACCTCTCAGAGTTATATCACGCACACACACGTGCACATGCACACACGCACACACTTCTTCCCCCCAAACCTTGTTCTCTGGCCTGGTCTTGTTTCTGAACAGTGATAGAGAAACAACTCAAAAACAGCATCCGTTTGTGTGTTCTGCTCTGGCCCAGAGGCTGTATTTTCTAAGTCAAGTCTCTGCCATCCTTCAGAAGTTGGCTCGGGGTAGAGAACAGGTGTGTCAGTGGAGTAAGTTTTCATCCATGAGAATGTTCATCTGGGGGGGGGGGGTTCACTTGACCTGTAGAGAAGATGGCTGCCCGACTCCAGGTCTCCTAAATCCCCGCATGCTAATCCTTGTCAGTTAAGGGCTCATGGATACCTACACAATAACTTTCTGTCAGAAATGTACTAATTAAACAAGGGGGACCCTTTTTGTTGTGTTTTTATGGATCCTGCTGGGAAAAATAGAAACACCAAATAACCCAAGCCTGTCTCCAAAGAAAGAAGGCTGAGGAAATGAAGCAGCCTCTTTCACACAACTCGGCAGCTCTGAAGAACTTTCAAACTACCATATTTGATCTTTTATCTCAAGATATACATGAGCTCTCTAAAGATCCAGGAGAAGTCAAAGCTTGTTTCACCTATTTAGATAATGAACTATGAAAAACTGCCATAGAACTGGAGGAAGTTAGAACAGAGAATGCTTCCTTAGGGCACAGACTAACCAGTCTTGAGGAGAAACAAGAAGATCTTGAAAACCAATCATGCAGGAATAATTTGTGGTTACTGGGCATCTCTGAAGGGCTGGAGGGAAAAACATGATTAGCTTTCTCCAGACCATGCTCTCTGAGTTAGTGGAGATTGAAAGTGCCCATCAAGTGGTAAGGGCCAGAAGGAGAGAGAACAATAATAACTCTTTAAATTGCTAAGATTTAATGACTAAGTTGATGTCTGCTGCTAGGCAAAAAGGGACTAGAGTATAAGGATTTTAAATTTTCTTTGTGTCCAGACTTCTCTGCAAATTTAACTAAGACAGCAGCATTTAATGGCATCAAATGAGCTCTTAGGGGGTCAGATATTAAATACAGCCTCAGATAGACTGTGATCTTCATAATGAAGTTGACAGACTCTGTGAAATACTTCAATATCCCATTGGATGCTTGGCAAATACAACGGGAATCAAGCCTAGATCTCGCTAACAGCGTGATCTTGGCACATGTAGGTATTTTGGTAAATACAGGTATATTTCTGGGGGATTCTTAATTTGTATTGTGTATGGGGGAAGGGAGGGTCGGTGCAGGCATACACTGCCTAGAATCTGGACATGCCCATATCAGAAATCTGGACTGTTACAGGGATGGAGGGTAGTATGGGATGTTTTTGTTTTGTTTTTATGGAGAGGTACTTGGAGGCTGTCAATCTATTGGGCATCAACTAGCAGCTGAACAATCACTGATTTTTCACGAGCTCTTTTTAAAGTTTTGTTCCTGGAATGCACAGTGGTATAATGAACTCCCCAGGAGAAGCAAAACTTTTAGACACTTTTCTTCAGGAGACCCGTTTAAGGAATAAAGATGCAGGCAGAATTAAAAAACTGAGTGGGAACATGAATATCACTCCTTTTTGAACTCCAGATGAAGGAAAGTAGTGATATTAATCCACAAGAACCTCATTTTTCAATGTATTCTGTCATGAGTGGCTCCAGAAGGCAGATACATAATAACTGAAGGCATTTTCAATGCTAAAAGATTAATTTGGGGGAGTGTATGTAATCCTAGGGGTGAGAATGCACCCTTTATTGCAGAAAAAACAGACATTATTTCCAACAGAACTGATGTCCCAGTGGTACCAGGAGCAGATTGGAATGATGTCTTGGTTGATATTGTAGACAAATCTCTAAGCAAAAATCTCAGGCCTTTGCAAACTATCCATTACCCCTGCTGAAAGATAGTGGACAAATGGATGTTTGGAGATTGAAGCATCCTACAAAGCATAAATACACATTTCTCTATGGTTCATGCCTCCTATTCCAGATTAGATTTTTTCTATGATCCCTCAGGTGCTATCTTGTAAAGGTGTAAATCAGTAATATTATCATCTCTGATCACCCGCCAATTTTCTGTTCACATAGCTCTTGGTTATAGTGCTACAAGATCCTCAAGATGGAAGTTAAACACACATCTGCTTCGAGACCCTACATTTCTTTCGATGATTAAACCTCCATTACCAACTGGTTAAAAGAAAATACCAATACTGACTCCTCTACTACAACTTTATGGGATGTACCGAGGTAAAAGAAATATGGGAGGAGCTAAACATCTCCAGTTCCTCTGCCAGGTGCGATAATATCTGGCACGATATATGAGAGCATCCCGTTCTCTGTTTTTGCCCCCCAAGCCCCGCCCGCACCCAGGCACCCCAAACCCCTCCTCCCCAGGGTGCTCCGAAAGGGCTGCGTTGTCTGACACAACGCCGGTCACTGAGTCGTTGCCGCCCTAGATTTGTTGTCTCTGCTGGAGACCGTGGATTGCATCCGCTCAGTCACCCGGCTAAAGAAACTCTGCCTCAAGGGTTTCCTGCAAGGCAATGGAGGTGGCTCGACATTTTTCTCTTTTAATTGCCTGACACCTTGCTGCCTTTGTCGGGGACGTGCAAGCTTAAGCTCCCCTCCTCCCTGCGCGAGGGAGCGGGCTTGGGGAGGGAGCCGACTTTCGATTTCCTGCAAAGGCCACACCTCCCCTGAGTCTCTCCCTCTCACCGCAGGCAGAGGGGCGGAGCCATTCGTGGGGATTTAAACCTGTAGCCTCTGCCCTTCTCCCCACTCACGATCGCGCTCACGGTGGCATCGGACAAGAGCTTCGGTCATGCAGGGGACTTTTATGGGCTAAACAATCCGCAGGCTGCCTGGTTCTGTTTTCCTTTGGCAACTCTTTAAAGAGTAAAAACCCTTGCCTCTCTCCAGTTACTGCCACAAGCAAAAGCTGAGAGACAGGCCGTATCCTTTCCAACGTGGATCCCAGTGGATTTTGTGTTTATCAGCTGTTTTTTGGCTACATCCGGAGCTGTTTGCATAGTACAGAGTGTCTTGGCTGGCTTTGTCTGGAGTGCTGAATACAGCTGGAGAATAAGAGCATATCTAACAAAATGCCAAGGGACAGCCAGACAGGCAGGCAACAAACCAGCAGCCAAATGAGTTTATTGTCACCACCTCCTCAACCAGCAGGAGCAGCATCCTCATCGTTGTTGTTGGTCCCAAAATCAAACTGCCACCCCAACTTCTTCAAGAAGCACCCACAAGAAATCAGCCAGATAAACTGCAAAGAGAGCTCCCTAGCTGTCGTGGAGAGAAATGGGAGCATTCTCATTTTTGACAAAGAGGGTGAACACAGAAAACCGGGTGAGTATTTGTTTTTCAAACCCAAGGACCAGGTTTTGATCTGGTGTAAACTGCCATAGCTCCAGAGATGTCAGGGAGCTGCGCTGCTTTCCAGCAGCTTAGAATCTGGACCAATATAAGACATTTTCTTTTTTGTTGTCCTGTACCCAGATCTAACCCCTTTAGAGTTAAATGTGTGATAGAAATGGAAGGTGCCCCTGCTGTGATTCTGTAATACATTGATTTTACAGTGCATTAATATGTTTATATTCTTTCTCTTTACATTAAACTTATCACAGGAGACCAAGGTAATTTAGGATTTAGGTTGATTTTTCACAGGAAACTCCAAGTGGTTTGTGATTTGCCTACTCTTGCTGTTCAGAAGTCCAGTTCCCAGATCCCTGATGCCACTCTTATTTCTTCTCTTTTCTTCTCACTAGAGCAGTTTCCTTTCTCTGTGGTGCCAAGTACCAGTTTCGGTTTCTATTCCAGAGGCTGTGCAGAACATTACTCAGAGGCTTGTCAGGCTGCCTGCAGCTGCCAGGCAATATTGGGTGAAGTGCAGGAGGCCGAAAAATGGGAATTTTGTTGTTATTATAGATACTTGACTCTCCTTGACTTTTCAGTGATCTGAGTGCCTTGGGCATGTAAATGTAAGCCCTAATCACTGGTTTCATGTTGATTTAGTTTAAGATAAATTTGAATGAGAGGACCATAACTTATGGCGTAGTAACGACTACGTGATAAGGCAAATGAAGGCACAGATTAGTAATATGGTGTAAAGATCTGATGCGCACTTACTGGTATCTGAGATTCTGTTATATATGTGAGAAGGGGACCTATAGGGTAGAAAAATCTAATTTAAAGGGACGGTGGCTAATTTTTGCCTCCCTTTTTGATACTGTTGAAGAAGAAGAGTTACTAAATCTAAGCTGACCAGAAATGCTTTGATGATTTCTTTTGCTGTTGCACTAATACAGGTTTTAATTTATGGATGTAACCCTTTCCCTCCAGGACGGTGAACCCCAGCAGGCATGAGATCCAGACAGACAAAATACAACAGTGAAACTGACTAGTTTGTTTTCCATTGTCTAGACCCAGGGATGTGCAATAAAGACAAACAGCCAGAAAAAATAGTGGCAAGCATCTTAGAGTGGTTTAAAACTCTCCTTCATATGTAATAATCCGCTGGGCTGACTTTCAGAAGAACTGAGCACTCACAGCTCTTGCTGAAGGAGATCTGGGTGCTCAGCACCTCTGAAAATCAGATCATAATTTATTATTAGTCAAGCCACATTCCACTGCATTTGGGAGACTGGAAGCAAAGTGGTCCTGCGTGGGTTCCATAAGCCACAGAACTGAGCTCTGCAAGTGTTTCTTTCTCTATGGGAAGTGGTGGAGGCTCGGACAGTGGGTGTACAAACTGTATGGATTCACTAGAACACACCACCACGTGGAGGGGGGAGGAGTAAGGTTCGACCATTCCTGAAACCTGTGGCCCACACCAGAGCCGTAACTAGCTATTCTTGCGCCCGAGGCAAAAATATAAAACTGCGTCCATGTCGGCGGCATTACGAAGTGTGGGGCCTGATTCGAAGGACCCTCGCCGCCAAAATGCCGCTGAAGACGGCGGCAGTGATTGGCCTGCCAGGGAGTTTTCTGTGCCCCTCAGCTTTGCGCGCCCGAGGCAAGTGCCTCACTTGCCTTGCCCTTGTTACGGCGATGCTACTATATCCAGGTCATCTGGGTGCTCTGCAGGCCACCTAGGAGAGAATTGTGTGCCTGAGAAAGGCCACATACCAGTACATGCATATGTGCAAAGCTTTGTGCTGAGGAGCAGAAACTCATTCTGTGATGCATTAACAGAGAGTGAAGTTGCTGAGTAGCTTTTAATACGTTCAATGTCTCAAAATGATTGTGGGTTTCTGTCTTGATTTACTCTGCAGAATACGTGACTTTAGGACAGAACATGAGGGGGCATTCCTTGGACTGTGGAGCAGCATATATGCTCATTCTCACCTCAGAAGGAAAACTTTTTGAGCGGAGCATTTCAGCCACAGCTGATAAGTCAAAGATAAGGTGGGAAATGTCTCAGTGGATGATGATGATGGTGGTTAGAGAGCGAGACCAAGCTGTAGCTCACGAAAGCTCATGCTCAAATAAATTTGTTAGTCTCTAAGGTGCAACAAGTACTCCTTTTCTTTTTGCGAATACAGACTAACAGGGCTGCTACTCTGAAACAAGTTCAGAGAGTGACCAAAAAAGGGGGGAAGTTGGTACAGAGCTGTGGGTCAAATAATGAACTTAAGCGGAGAAAGATCTGGGCTGAAGTGGCTCAAAATAAGGGTAAATGATTGATTGAGAGGAGAGGGGACAGCTTAGCATCAAAGTCAGGGCAGGAAACGTGGGGCCAAGTGTAACTGACAGCCAGCTAGAGAGAGCAGGGAGAGAGATAAGAAGGATGAAATGGTCGTCAGAGGAGGAAAGACGAGGGAGGTCCTGAAATAATAACAGGGCAAGAGAAGGAACGCATCCATCACTGTTGCCCCAGCCACTGGGAAGGGAAGTAGGGAATGGTTGTAGTAGGCCAATGGTGCACAGTGGCAGAGACTGAAATAGGGGGGTATTTTGGAGAGATGTTTCCCCTTTGCCTAGGTAAGAAAGAGTTGGGTTTTTTTTTTTTCAACCAAAGAAAAGATGGGTCTAAAAGGTAAGTTAGGGCGTAGCTTTGCTTATACAGAAAGCATGGTCAATGCCCTGAAAGACCAACTGTGCTGGAACAAGGCTTGTCGTGCATTGAGCGTGTCTGAGGATAGCAGTACTTACAAGCAGCATGTGAGTGCCTGCCTGTTTCTCCTAACGATGACAGAAAAATGCATCCTACAGCAATGGACTGAGAGGTGCTCCCGTTGTAAAGGAGGGGAATGGAGCAGAGTCAGGTTTGGAGCCTACTTTGTTTTTTTAACTCAGCAAGAAATAGACAATTGAGGATTGTTAATAGCACCGGACTAAATGGACTATCTGAGCACCAGATTCCCTTAGCATCAAGCAGTACCTTATTCCATGAGCCCCGCTGGTCTCAGTGGGACTACTTGTGGAGTAGAGGTACTTCTCAGTGTGGTGAGGGTAGGGCCCAAAGTGACCATGGAGCATCTGACTGAACTGTATAAATTGACTCACCCACTGACCTACAGGAAGCGCATAAGTACACTGCCATCACCTTTGTGAGGTTGTGTTCTGTAACCTTGCCCCAGTCAGACTTTAAACAATATGTAAATATAAGGCCTGATCCTACTCTAGTTTACGCTGGTCTCAATCAAGATCAGCTCAGCTGAACCCAATGGAACTACACCTGGGCAGAAGGTTAGAATCAAGACTATACAACATTTAAGTGTGCTGAAGGTGGTAGAACAGGATAAAAATAGATTCTCAAACAGGCTCTTCTTGGATTAAGATTAGAATAATTTATGTTAGATTCACAGCACTTCATGTGGTTTTTTTTCCAGACTGCTGAAAGAATTAAGAGACAAATACATTGTCCAAATCGCATGTGGGGACCATCATTCCATGGCACTGTCTAAAGGTATTCTCCTTGTTTAGAGTTTTCTCTAAATTATTAAATCGGAGTATTGCAACCCTCTCCTCAAGAGCTAAAATTTTAAGTATCACAATTAATGGCATTATTATGAAAAGGTAAATACTGGATAGGAAACTCTTTTCACAAGGGCCGGAAAGGAAGAGTGGTCCAGTGGTTATGGGACCATGTAAATACCTAGGACAGATATAACTCTCACTATATTTACATGAATTTGTTAACCTGTATATCTCAAATCGTGCTCTTCTCTGAATGCGCATACTCGTTTTCTCCAAATGACAGAATGTGTTAATTTAACATTAGATAAAAGAGAATGGGGCTATTGTCATACCGCTTCCTATCAGATTTCTTTCTGTCACTTGTTCCTGGAAATAAAAAAAAAGCTCCTACTCTGAGTCATTCTTCATATTAAAATTGTGTGAATCATTTATTTATTTCTATAAATGTCAAAATTATTCATTCAGGTTTTTCACTTTTTAAAATACTGAATGTATAGAAGTGCCACTTTTCCATTAAAATTGTTTAAGAAAGCTACTCATTATGTCTTTGATGAAGCTATTCCAGAGCAGGGATTACAGGATTGGATCCTTAGTAGATAGCAGAGGGCAGCTACATCAAGTAGACTAAGCATAGGGCTAGGAGTAAGGAGATCCTTGGTTTATTCCTGACTCTGCCAGTGAGTCACTGTGTGCCCTTGGACAAGTTACTGAACTTTACTCTCTCTCTTTCCACATATATAAAATGGGGGCGATAAAATGCTTTGAGATCTATGGATGAAAGGTCTATGAATTGCGGATTGGCAGGGAGGGTTACGACCCATCACAACTTTAGGGCACTCTCTTGATTTTCACAAATCAGAACCAGATCCAGCGAGTCCTGAACTGATTTATTGTCCCCATTTTGGCAACACTGCTTTTTTACAGCCTGACACCTTTATCAGCATGTGATGACATCATTTGATAATGTGATGATGTAATATAATCATGCACTGATAAAACACTATGGAGCAAAGGTAGAGAAGGCTGGGTTTGGGACCACCTCCTCCAGCTGCTCCCAAGGCTAACCTCGCTATGGGCCTCTGAAAGCCAGTGCTGAGGCATCCAGGGTCTCTGCCATTACTGAGTCTTAACTGGGTCTCAAATCATATATAAAGAAGTTAGGCTCAATCTTTGGGACCCTGGTGTGAAAGTATGAGGGCCCATTAGGTGGAAACCTGTATGTTTGAAACTGTCATGTTTTTTTTTTCTCTTTCTTGTGTTAAGGTGGTGAGCTTTTTACCTGGGGACAGAACTCGCACGGTCAGCTTGGAGTGGGGAACCAGATTGACTTTACCCACAAACCACAACTGGTGCAGGAACTCAGAGGCATCCCGCTGGCTCAGATTGCTGCAGGAGGAACTCACAGCCTTGCCCTGTCGCTCTCTGGAGCCGTTTACTCATGGGGGAAGAACGATTTTGGACAGCTGGGACTTGGAGACACAGAAAGTAAGGAAAGACACAGAGCAGCATAAAAATTAGGTGGGGAGGATATTTTCCTAACAGAGGAGCTTGACACAGACACAGACACAGAAACTATTAAGGATGTCAACGACCATCAGAGCAATGATATCTGACAATGTCTCTGGGAACAGCAAATGCAGATAGATTGGTGTTCCACTTGCTAGTTTGCCCTGATCAGCTACTGCCCATGGAAAAACCAGCTGGAACAAGGGAGTCTGGTGTTTTACTTCCAGAGGACTAATCAATCATTTTACACTCCCTCCCAGATACAATGGGCTCATAAAATGCTCAGGCCTCTGAGTTCTCTCCCTGATCGCATTATGCTCTGCCGATAGTTTGCAGCAAGGAAGTACATGTTCTTATACTTACCTCCCTCCTTCAATTTTCTGTTCCATAGATTTTATATGTACAAGGTGAGGGAAAATTAGATATCCAGATGTGGAAATGTTGGTCGATTTTTAAACTAGGATCATAAATTCATAGCTAAATATATATGGCCTGATTTCCAGAGGTACTGAACACCCACAAATCCCACAAAAGTCAATGGGAACTGCAGGTGCTCAGCATCTTTGAAAATCAGGCTACTTATCTAGGTGCATAAATATGGATTTAAGAGCCTAATTTAAGGCCCTCAGGTTTGAATATTGGCTCAAGTTTTATTCCTAGCTCTAACTACATAAATATGTAAAACAACCAAATAAACAAACTTGCCAGGGTATTATGAAGCATTATGCATTGTAACGGAAGGTGAATAAGCCTTGTAAGCAAGTTCTATATACAGGGAAAAGGCTTTTTTTTAAGAAGTCATTCCAAGGATGGCTATAAGTATTTTTCTAGACCTGTATTTGCTTTAGACTTACCAAAGTTGTCAATCGACACTGTGTTTTTTCTTTTCAGACAAATATTACCCTTCATACATTAGAGCCCTAGAACATAAGAAGACTGTGTATATCTCATGTGGTGGAGAGCACACTGCCATTCTCTCACAGGTTTGGTTGAATTTGAATTCATTCACTTCACAGAGCGCAAGGGAAGTTTAGTCCAACAAAGATGATACACTAACTGCTAGAGTGTTGATTCCCTGTATGGGCAATATTTACATTTATGGGAATGTGAAGCTGGCCCCTGGCACTTGCTAACTTGAGTTTTTTGTAGGACCATAGTCTACTTAAATTCCTGCAGAACATTAAATGAGTTGTTGTTCTCATTCAGCCATGGGTTATCAAAGAACCGAAGGGACATTCCAGTAGTGTCTGGCAGAAGCTGAAACTTTGAACCCAAGTACATGGGGACTGGATGTCTCAAGGCATGTTAACAACACGCAGTTAAACTGTCAATGAAGACCAAACATTATTACTTTTTGATGGTTTTTATAGTGTCCTCACTGACTGAGAACAACAACAACTTATTTACTAGGTTTACTCACATGAATAAAGCCCTTAAGCAATAGGACTATTCTCAGGAGTAAAGTTACTCACATGTTTAGGTAATGCAGGATCAGGCCTTACATTAGCATTATTCCATTTGTATTTGCATCACCCATTCCCTGATCTATGGTCTATAGCATGTTCTTACATGTATGTAGTATAGTTGGTCCCAGGATATTAGAGAGACAAGGTGGGTGAGATAACATTTTCTGTTGGACCAACTGCTCAAAAGCTTGTCTCTTTTGCCAGCAGAAGCTGGTCCAACAGAAGATATTACCTCACCCACCTTGTCTCTCTAATGTCTTATATGGATAATCAACAGGACTATCCATGTGAGTGAAGTTGTGTAAGCATTCGCGGGATCTGGCCCATAGTTGGCAGTTACCATTTTTTAATAGTGTGTGCTATTTTGAGATTACATGACCCTCATGAGTGTTTGTCCTTCTCCAAGGATGGGCTGGTGTGTACCTTTGGAGCTGGAGATTATGGGCAGCTTGGTCACAACTCCACCCAGAATGAGTTGATACCTCGTATTGTGGCTGAGCTCTTTGGAGCAAGGGTGTCTCAGATAGCATGCGGAAGGTAGGAAATGGCAATGTCTTTGAAGCTTTATAATGACAAAGAGATAACTTTGCGGAGCTTTTGGGAAGCACTGGAGGATGTTAGGAAAAGAAATCTCTAAATTACTTTTTTCAGATCCCCTTATTTTAGCAGCTCACAGCTGATAGAATATTGACCAGACACACATTTTATTTATTAACTTTTCCACACACAGACCCTGCCCTGCATTGAGCTTCATGAGGACAAAGTCCCGCTCCAATGGAGTGAGCAGATTTAAAAATTGTACTGTACCCATAATCCCTGGCTGCTCTCACCAGGTGATGAAGAATATATACATGTGTCAAACAGAAAAAGACCATCAAGTTACCTAACAGGGACGAAATCTACCAAAATTTCCAGTCAATCCCTGTACAACATGGGAAAATGGTGGTTCCTTACAATATAACTGTGAATGATGGAAACTATGAAATTATATTGAAATTAAACTATGAAATATATTATATTAATATATTATATAATTAATATATTATATTAACAGGCTGATACAATGTCCATTGATATCAACAGAAAATCTCCTGTTGACTCCTGTTGGCTTTGGATCAGATCTATAACCACGGAAAATATTTATGCTTGCCAAATGGAAAAATATCAACGCAGAACACTTTATTGTTTGTAATTCTCACTGGTTCAAAATTAGAAAATAAAGAGCTATCTGGAATCAGTGGAACAGTGCTCCTTTAACTAAAGATGCATACATTGTTCTTTCAGTTCTGCATGCTTATTGTAAGGAGCGCCCTACAAATTTGACTGGAGGTCTTCTGTAGCATGGTTCTTAGTAACTTTAATGGGAAGCACCCTCATGTACTGCTCTGAAAATGTGCCTATCTGTATTATCCTAACTAGCTCAACGGCACTCTTATGTGGTCCATTTTCCTTTTCTGAACAGGTGGCACACGCTTGTCTATGTCCCCTCCTTGGGAAAAGTCTATTCATTTGGTTGTGGAGCAGAAGGACAGCTGGGCAATGGTGACACATCTAATCAGTTGATACCACTGCCTGTCGAATTACCTTCAGATTGGGTGAATGGTGGAAAACTCAACCCAGGTAATTTGCACAGTAGATCTTTTTGAGCTGTACTTTGTTATTTTAGATCCAAACTAGGTAGTAGTTTGTTTTTTAAAATGAAAAACACATTTTGTTTAACGAGGGGCGTGACAAGAGCGTGGGTGAAGAGGGCTGGGAACAAGAAGATTTGTCCCTAAACATTGGACAGCCTGAAGGCAATTGAGACAATTGACCTTACAAACACTTGAGAAGAACTAAGTAGATATCTGTGTGGGGAACCTCCTGCCAGGACAAAGTCACTAACTGCTATCTTCGCCTTCAAATTGGGCAAACTCATGAGAATCACACTCACTTCCAAAGGCAAAACTTACCATCTTTCTCCCTAGCCTGAATAAATGTATGGTTTCCCTGATGACTAATGTACTAGAAGACTCTGAGGTGGTTTCCCTGATAACTAATGTACTAGAAGACTCTGAGGGAAAACAGTCCTGCAGGGTTTCTTAGCCTGAAGCAACAGTTGCCCTGGTATCTTCTTTACCTCTCAGCCTGCACCCTAAATAAGCTGTCACAGGGTAACTGTCCCCTCTAAAGGGAGATGGGGGCCAGACACACCTGTGCCACCATAATTAATTAGCTGCTTCCCACCCTGAGGGGGCAGGACTAAGGAGAGGTCAAGTGATAGATTTGTGAACACCTGGTCCTTTTAAAGGGGCTGTGTGAGATCAGTCTGAGTTGGAACCACAGGGAGTTGGCTCCTGAGGAAGGCCCTGAACTGAGGTTTGGGGGGAAATGGTACTCCAGGGGAGCAAGCCTAGGGGCCGAGTGCTCTATCCCAGAGGCAGCTATATTCTCCAAAGTTAGCCCAGAAAGGGGCTGGGAATGGGGCCGGGAGGGCATTGCTGAAGGGCAGCCCTGAAGGGCAGAAGCCCTTTTGCTTCTTTGGGAGTTTTTAGTTTGAACTTTTGCTACCCGGGAACAAGTTAAGTTTGTTTGTCACTTGGCCAGATGGTTAAGTCACATCTCCATCACAGCCAGGTGTCTGGAAAGCCACAGAGACAACCTTTGGGAAGGAAACTGTGGCAGGGAGTGCTGGCTACACCACAGGGAGCCAGCAGGGGGTGTTACTGAGCAGCCATGGCATAGATGTTAAGGGTCAACTGTGGATTCTGGTATCTCTGTACCTTTCTCCTCTTCAGGCAATGTACTGCAGGCTACTCTTACTGCTGTGCTGTTCAATCTATTTAATTGTCTCAGTTGCCTCTTCTCTGATCCAGTGCAATTGTAGAAAGAACATCATGCCTTAAAGGGTTGCTTAATAGCTACTTACTTCATTGTACCTACTGCTGGTCAGCTAGATGGGCTGTGCATTCTCATTTGTTGGATTTTTTAAAAAATTAAGTCATTTTAAATTACTTCACACCTTATTCTGAAACTCAGATTTAAACCTCTTCAATTAGTCTTGTCCATGAGGCATTGACTGAGTCTAGTAACGTTAGAGATGTGGAAACCAAGCTAGTGAAGAGCCATCGACTCTGGTGCCAAACTCAATTTTAATGAATAGGACAGCATGGTCTTCTCAACAGCAGACCCTGGCCATAACTAGGCAGTTCTGAAGAGGACTATAACAATAGTTTTTCAGGGTTGTCCTCCATGCTCCTGGGTTTGTAGCTGCTCAGAGCATCTGGGATGTATCCAGATCTCTCTCATATATTGGTTAAACATGCAGTGAGATTGAGGGCAGATCAAAATTAGCTTCTTCTTCCTTTTTTATATTCCCTTATGAAAAAAGTACCATATTACAAAGTTACAGTTGGAAACCATTATATCACACTTTTCTAACAACAAAGTAAGTACGAGTAACAAAGGAAAATATGGAAAATAACGAGGAACACTAGCTAGATAGCACCACAAAAACTGTACAGTAATCAACTACCGAAACAGACTCCCTCTTTATGGGCTTATTATAACCTTAAGGTGACTCAGGTTAACCTGCAGTGGACAGCCTTTACCCTTCTCAGAAATGGGGTTCCTCTGGGTTTTGTATTTAGGAGACTGTGACTTTCCTTGGGTCTCTTTAGGTTTGATAACCACTAGAATCCCACTCATCTGTGGAAGGAGCTCTGTCTTCGTTTTGCAGATCCGGAACCAAGACCTTCCATGAACTAGAAACAAACACAGCTCCCTTCAGCGGGGGCTTCTCCACAGCAGGCTTCTTCCTGCCCACCAGAAGATGCAGGAACTTGCATGCTGCTTTTAGATTGGCCAGCCACCCTCTTCCAGTGTCCCCATGCTGCTTGCTGATCCCATCATAGATATACATTTACTGCTTCATCATGATAAATAAATGTTATATAGAATCACTTCTGGGGCTGGGAGCTTTTGATGAGTTTTTAAGGTTTGTTTTTATATACCTTGTCCATGCACTGAACTTTCAAAAGATAAGGGATTGTTCTTTGGCTCATCCTTTTCTTCTTTATCCCTTCACAGGAAACAGTACCTCCAAAAAGGTGATTAAAATTATTGCAGGAGGAAACCAAAGCATTGTGCTTTGCTTGAAGAAAAAGGTATGTGAAGTATCTGACATGTTTTTAACAATGTAGTTCCTGGCCAAGGCTTCTGCTTTGCTGCTGTTGAGCCACATATGAATTTGGATTTGCCATCTAGCCCCATAATAGGTTTTTCTTCCAAAATCACAGCACTCTCCACACCTCCCTCCATCCCTTCACTGAGACCAAATTGTGTTAGAAAAGCAAATCTCTCTTTCTCTCTCATGACATCATTTCTGTATTTTATGCTTGTGGTATTGTCTACTGCAGGGGTGGGAAAACATTTTGGCCCAAGGGCCACATCTGGGTGGGGAAATTGCTTGCAGGGCCATGAGTGTAGGGCTGGAGCAGGGCGTTGGGGTGCAGGAGGGAGTGCAGGGTGTGGGAGAGGGTGTGGTGTTCAGGAAGGGGCTCAGGGAAAGGGGTTGGGGTGCAGAGTGCAGGAGGGTGCTGGGGTGTAGGCAGGGGACTGGGATGCAGGGAGTTGGGGTGCAGGAGGGGTTTGGGCTCTGGCCCGGCACCTCTTACCTGGAGTGGCTCCGGGGTGGAAGCGGCATGCACCGGGGCCAGGGCAGGCTCCCTGCCTGCCCTGGCCCCAGCCCCAGCCCCGCACCACTCCAGGAAGCGGCCAGCGCTATGTCCCTGCGGCCCCTGCAGGAGGGGGAGCATAGAACTGTGCACGCTACCCTTGCCTATGGGTGCCTCCCCCGAAGCTCCCATTGGCCGCAGTTCCCCATGCCTGGCCAATGGGAGCTTCGGGGGAGATACCCACAGGCAAGAGCAGCGCGCGGAGGTCTCTGCCCCCACTCCCACAGGGGCAGCAGGGACGTGGTGCTGGCCACTTCCCGGAGTGGAGCAGTGGCTGTGCCACAGGCCGGATCCAAAGCCCTGAGGGGCCGGATCTGGCCCACGGGCCGTAGTTTGCCCACCCCTGGTCTACTGATTGGAAGCCCAAATGTTCACTCCCAGTTTGGCCCACAGAAGGCTGTGATCCTCGCAAACCAGAGTCTCATCTACTGGGCTTCTAACCTCATTAACATTCTTGCCCCTTTTATACAGAATCCATATGTTACTTTGAACGGAACTGCCATAGTGGAAGACAAAGAGGTGGATAAATGGATTTCTAATTCGGATCCTAAACAGTGGGAGAATATAAAGAAGTAAGTCAGATCCCTGGTGGGTTTTTCCATTAATACTGTAAACTCTAAACCTTCAAAACACTGTATTTTCTTGGTACAGTTCTTCCCTTTCAAAAAATCTTGCAGGGAGTGCAATTAAAAGGAGTATGGCAGAGATGCAGAATTGGATATTTGCTTGTTTGCTGTTTTGAGACTCAGTCCAGCGTGCTTTACTTCGTCTTTGCTCAGGCAAAACTCACATTAATGAAGTAAGGGCCCTCGTGTTTGGCCCTTGGTCACTATTTTCTTGCGAAGAGATGGAAGTGGACATTTCACAAGTACAGAGGTTGAGACACACCGGCCAGCTTTAGGAGTGTGTCCTCCTCTTATTGCAAATATATCATTGCCACTAGTGTTATTGGGAGTTAAGAGCGCACATCCAGGGGGAGACTGAACCCCAAAGAGTGGTGGCCTTAAAACAAAAGAGCCCGATGAAAGTCCATTGAGCAGCATGGCTGGAATTTTCAGAAGGACTCAGCATTCACAATTGGTGTCCAATTTTCAGAAATGCTCAGCTCTCTTTTAGGCACAGAAAGAAGTGGGCCGATTTTCATAACTTGGTACATTGGAATGCTGAACACTTCTGAAAATCTCGCCTTTTTGAGGTGCCTGAAAGGGAGCTGACTTTCTTTCGGGAAATCTGGCCCCAATTACACATGCTGAGTACTTCAAAAACTGGCTCTTTTGAAAATCTATCCCCACATGGCTAATTTGGAGCTCAGTGATTTTCCAAGTATTTTCAATCTAAGGCAGTGGTTCTCAACTGTGGCCCACCACTTGTTCAGGGAAAGCTCCTGGCGCGCCAGGCCGGTTTGTTTACCTGCCGCGTCTGCAGGTTTGGCCGATCGCGGCTCCCACTGGCCAATGGGGGCTTCGGGAAGGGTGGCCAGCACGTCCCTCAGCCCACACCACTTTCTGCAGCCCCCATTGGCCCGGAGTGGCGAACCGCAGCCAGTGGGAGCCGTGATTGGCCGAACCTGAGGACGCAGCAGGTAAACAAACCAGCCCGGCATGCCAGGGGCTTTTCCTGAGCAAGCGGTGGACCAGAGTTGAGAACCAGTGATCTAAGGAAAGTGGCATTTAGAACAACTGGCCTCTTTAAATCACAAACCAATTTGTGCACATCTTTGCTGTTTGTTCAGACTGAATAGCTCTTGCTGCTTTTTTTGTTGGAATGATTAATTCTGGGTTGTTTTTTGTTGTTCTTTTAAATTAACAGGAATATTCATCTGATCTTTTCATCTGTGGCTTGTGTCAATGGAAGTTTCTTGGACAAAAGGTAGAGTGCACTAATTTGAAAACAAAATAGTACATCCACTGTGTATAAATTGGTCAGAAATTAGCTCCATTACAAAGAATGTAGAGATTGATAGGATGATCTGGATTTGTAAAATACAAGTCTATAGAATATTTTTCAAGAAAAGGCTAAAATTCTCCTCTGATCCACATAATAGATCTTGACCAAGATTTTAAAAAATGAGTGCCTAAAATTAAGCTTCTAAATTCACATTTTGGCACTTAAATAAGTGGTCTGATTTTCAAAGGTGCTGAGCAAACCCAGGTCCCATTGAGGTCAATGGGAACTAGGGGTGCTCAGCACTCTTTCAAAATCTAATAACTTTGTTGCCTAATATGGACACTTGAGCCAAGACTTAGGCATCCAAGTTTGAAAATTTGTCTCCTGGTCTCCAAAACTCTGCTCTCCTTTCATGCTCCCATCTCCCACTAAATGGGTATTTTACATATGTAGAGAGGGCAGAGGATCTGAGCAGAGGTTTATCACATGGATATGAGCAAAGCACTTTACCCAAAATGAAGATCGGACAGGTTTGTCACATATTAACATTTACTGTTGTTAATGAACTTACATTTATACAGCATCTTGTACCCAGAAGGATTCCAAATCATTTCACAAATGTTACTTTACCCAGCGCTGAAATGCAACCACTTCTAGGGTAGAATATGGCAAGCAGCTGATTAACAACACACAGCCACGTTATGTGAAAGTTTAGAACAGGAAGTACGGAATAGCATTCAACTGATGCTGCAGTGAGAATTTCTTGGTAGGCAGAATATAATTATATTAATTGGAATTAGGGTTTAGCATTTCTCAGAATGTACATTCCCTTCATACCCAGGGATTGTTAAAATGCGTCAAAGTTTAGCCAGAAATACACAGCAGAGGAGCAGAACTTTCACATCCCTGATTTTTCTTCTCTTCCAGTAGAGACAAACATTTCAGAACCTCCAAAGAAATCTCAGGCATAGATATGTCAGCAGTGCTTCTTTTTTATGAGAAGATGAACAAGAAACCAAAAGGCTTGCAGGAGGTAAGAAGTGGTGTAGAAATGATACTTGTTACACTGATACTCAGTAGCTTTGGATCATCGCATTTTTTTCCACAAAGGGATGCTGACAAAATGTAGGTCTGGGTTTTTCAAGTGCTTTATAGACCCTAACATAAACAGGAAAAAAACAAATCTACTACCTCTCAGAGCTGCTTCCAGTGGAGCAAAGAGAGTTTTTTGTTTGCTGTTATTTCTTTGTATTAAATTAGGAGTTGCCAAGATATTATGGCAATGAAGGCCATATAATGACTGAGGTTGACCTAATGTTTTCATGGTATTTTTGTTTTGTGTTTTGTTTTAAGCTTGTTTTCCTAATTCAAACTCTCCCTGCTAGAGCAACAGAAACAGAAAGGGAAACTGACAAAGTGAAATTGATCAATATCTGCAAAATGGTGGTGCAGAAGGTGTGCATTGTGCTAGGCACTGTACAAACACAGGGTGCGAGATGGTGCTTGTCTCAAAGAGCTTACAGTCTCTAAATTTGGCAGGCATCTGGACAAGGGTGGAAGAATTATTATTATCCTAATTTTAGAGATCGGGAATATGAGGCACTGACAGATTAAGTGATTTGCCTAAAGTCGCACAGGAAATCTGTGGCAGAGTCATGAATTGAACCCAGATCTCCTGAGTCCCACTTCAGCGTATGAAAGAAGATGGTCCGTGAACATGGGAATTCTATATTGGTCTTGCTGCTATAAGTAATAAATTATTATGGCAAAACTCAGCTGCATTTTTTAATTTCTCTTGTCCCCTCTCTCCCTCAATCCGCCAGGTGATCTCTGCAGTTGAGAAATTGCTGTCATCACTGTCTTCCTCTCCCAGCTCACCTGAAGCTCTCAGGATCTACCTGATCATTCCTGTCCTTTTACGGGGACAGGATAACGTGTCTAACCGTCTTCTTGATCGGCTAGCAGAAGCCATCCTGAGTCTCCAACAAAAAGACCTGAAAGTTCTTGGTAAGGTCTGATAGCAGTACAGCTGGATCACCTGAGTTCTTCAGCACGTTCTGGGGAGGGAGGAGGGAAATACTCCCATTGACTTCAGTGGGGCCAGGATTTCACCCCAGATATTTTCTACAATGGAAAAGGGTTTTGACAAGCTGGTTATGTAGAAAGACATGCTAAGGGATAACTTGTCTGAAGCAGTCTACAGATAAAAGCATTATATGAGTTTGAGATTTACTAGTTTAGTTTAATACCAGTGCTTTATTCGGTTCATTTAAAAACAAAATGAACTGCTGTTTGTCCAAAGGACAGATCTTACTAAGAACTATTTGTATGTTGTCTAAGGTAGAGATGTCAACAGTTGTTTTCTTTACAGAATCCCTGTGGTCAAATCTAGAAATATCTTTTTTCAAGGACCTAGTGAGCACGTATCAAAGGGTTTCCAGAATCAATCTACTTAATTTCATCATGCAAGTCAGAAACTCTGAAGAAGTTACCTGTGAACCGCACTTGAATAGGACTTTGAAAATGCTGCAGATTCTTTACCAGGTAGAAAAGCAGTTGACTCTGGTGGGTTAGAAAATACACATACGATTAGAATATTTTTTCATGTATTTATTTCTTGAATTTACGAATACATGGCTTTTATACCTGAGGTACAATTGCTGATTACAGAGCAGTATGCACTTTGTCCCATCAGTGCTAAGAGAATGGAACTGTAATGTCAGATCATTGTTGCTTTGCCCCATTACCAGGCCCTATTGGTCCACTACACAAGAATAACCTGCAAAGGGGTCTGCAATCAGTGAGTCTGAACTCTATTTCCCTCTTATTCTTCCATTAGGGGACTGCCCCATGTCTTGTGGGCCCCACCCCAGGGGCAGGTTGAAATGTGAGTGTGATGTTTGCTGGTTGCACTCTAATGCTGCAGAAGTTTTTTCACACTGATCAGCTGCTCTGAGGTCATAATAAGTTGAATCCTCTGGAGAGCTAGGGGTTCTCTCCCCTTTTATTACTGTCCTGGACGTGCAGCATCACAATTCCACCCCCTCTTCCTGTTTCATTCACCACTTTCTTAACTCTCTCTCAACAAGCCCATGCACCAGTTCTGGACACATGACTTTCTGACCACCCCCACTGGATTTGCCCCGCCATTGGCTTAGGATTTGGGGGCAGATGGGAAGTTGGAGGGAACTGGAGTAAACTTACACACGGAATATTGGGCCTTAAATCATGGGGACCCTAAGCTATTGTCTTTGCTGGAAGCCCTGGATTTGTTTGAATTAGCTCTGCTTATTTTTTCTTTTCTGATTCCTCCCCCGTCTCCCCATATTTGCCACTTCTAAGTAAAAGGCCTTTCTTTGTCGCTCTCATCCCCGTTTGGTAGAATTTTCTCCCGTGAGTAATCTACACTGCAAGTTCATTATGTCATTCTAAGATAGGGCATAATACAAAGGGCCTGATTCTCATTTACACTAAGGCCCCTTCTCCCCATTCTCATAGTAAAGAAGGGCCTTAAATGAGTGTAAATGCAATATGTGCTCACTGTCAGAGTTGTGTAAAGGAGCTCTGGTGTAAAAGAAAATGAGGCCCTGGAATTCTCAGTTATTGCACAGAGTATGCTACGATTCTTAGCTGTATGGTTCTATATTGATTGTATTGGTTTTGCACTTCTGCCATTGTGCACTGCTTTGCTCGTTTGTGAAAAGTGCTGTGGTACATTTGCAATATAGTTCTGTTTTGCAGGTTAAGTGTTCCTAGCTCATAGGATCTGCTGGCCATTTCCTTTTAACACTGTACGTATCGATGCAGGTGAATTCCAGTGCTGGTTTCAAAATACAGGAAAACAACTTCTATGTACCTGAAGTGAAAGGGATTTGGGGACAGGCTTGGCATTCGAATGAAGCAATGGTAAGTATAACATCTTTCCAAAACTGCAATATATTTTCTTGTTGTTATTTAGGAAGTTAGAGATATTGGGGCCAAATCCTTGGGTCCAGCCCTTCTATCCCCAGTACAGCTTAGAAAGCTCTACAACCTCTCCGATCCTGTGGCTACTGGGCATTGGGCTGGCCCCGATACGCCATTCAGAACAGCAAGGCTCTTCTAAGTTGTGCCAGCTGCCCATGACTTCCAAGGTTGTTTTGGCAGTCAGAGATCGACTGGGCACAGTCACGCCCCAGCTACACCTCCTTTTCCATGGCCACATCTCCCCTTCACTGAGGGCTTGGAAGCAGAGTTAGCATAGGAGGAAACATTGGTGCCCCATGATCTGGAGATTCCCCCATGCCTGACGTAGCCAAGCCATTGGCCAGTCATTGCAAAGCAGCTGCAATGGGAGCCAGGATCTGGCCCATTATATTTCCTCTTATTTTTGTGTTTATCCATTCAGAATTAATGTACCCTTATACAGTCCTTTGAAACTTTTTTCACCAGGAAGCCAACAGAACATTTTAATTTCCTTTGAGTCATGGAAGGGCGCTACGTAACAACTTCAAACAAATTTTCACTCCAGATTTTGTTTGTTACTGAGACCCACTCTGCAAACTAATTTTCACTGGTTTAACCAAAGGCATTGTTTCCAATTCTTGTAGTTAAACTGGTGCAAAGCCCATTTTGAATGATATTAAAATTGACATAAGCCATTTTTAAACTGATTCAAGAGTGTCCACACAGGGCTTTGCACTGCTTTAATTTAAATGAGTCTGATACAGGAATATGCAGAAAAATCGCATCCGGGAGAATGGGGTATGACTTCAGGACTCATGCTGATTGGATGTGTATTCATTATTTCTTACTAGCAGCTTTAATTCTGCACACAGTACCAAGTGTTTGTTACATGAGGCTGTTTTATAGATTTTCACCTTTTCTTAGCCATAGATTTAATCAGGTCTTTTCTTTCTTGGGGAATATTCCCTGATTCCATATATCAGTGACTAGCCACTGATACAGCTGCATCAGGGCAACTCCTAGCATTGAGTGGGTTATAAGCCATGATGATTTGCACTATGCAAGGGGAAGGTGCACCCATGCAGATCACAGCTGCTTGTGGCTTTCCCTGTCAATACTAGGGGTTTGCACTAGTTCAGCTATATCCGTGGTTTGGCACTGATGGCTGAAATCCTCAGCATAGACAAGGGCTAAACTTCATCCTTGAGGTCTCTCCTATCTTTATCTCATAGTGGACTTTGTTTCTGAGTCTCATTGGTTCTTAGTTTGCAGAGTTTTGATATGTTTGTTGTGTGCTTGCTGCTTGACTGAAGTATGCAGTGTGGTTTGAGGGGCCGGTGTGCTGAGTTTAGTGGCCTGCTAGGCAAGGCTGAGAGCTTCTTAAGGAGGCTTTGTGGCCTAAGCCCTTTAGGGTCCATTAATTGTTAATGAGGGAGCAGGGCTACTCTCCCTCTCAGTTTAACATTCTCTCAGTTTAGGCCAGGGGTGGGCAGACTTTTTGGCCCGAGGGCCCCATCGGGGTTGCGAAACTGTATGGAGGGCCGGATAGGGAAGGCGGTGCCTCCCCAAACAGCCTGGCCCCTGCCTACTATCCACCCCCTCCCACTTCCTGCCCTCCCCCCTCAGAACCCCTGACCCATCCACCCCTCTGCTCCTTGTCCCCTGACTGCTCCCCCAACCCCCGGACCCCACTCCCTATCCAAGCCCCCTGTCCCCTGTCTGCCCTGGCCCCTATCCACATCCCCGCCCCCTGACAGGACCCCCAGGACCCCACCCCCTATCCAACCCCCCTGTTCCCCGTCCCCTGACTGCCCCCCCCAACCTCCGCCCCATCCAACTGCCTCCTGTCCCCTGACTGCCCCCCGGATCTCCTGCCCCTTATCCAACCCCCCCCCCCCCTGCTTCCTTACCATGCCGCTCAGCAGCAGGACTGGCTTATTGGAAAGCCTCGGAGGTGGCAGGTGCAAGCAGCGTTGCCTGTGCGATGGCGTGGCTGCGGGGGAGAGGGGACAGTGGGGGAGGGGCTGGGGGCTAGCCTCCCTGGCCTGGAGCTCAAGGGCTGGGCAGGACGATCCTGCAGACTGGATGTGGCCCACGGGCCGTAGTTTGCTCACCTCTGGTTTAGGCCAACAAACACCCCCCCACCCAAAAAAACTGCAGGAATATAAAAGAATGCAGGCAGAAGTCCAACAGTAGAGTGGGGTCAATCCAGTTCATTGCATGAAATATATGATTACCTGCCTGTGGGCAGGTGGCATGTGTGTGCATTCAGTGCAAGGAGCTCATGGTCCTCACAGACCAAGTGTGGGCTCTGGAGACCAAAGTGGCCGAAATGGAGGAGCTAAGGGAGACAGAGAGGGACATAGATAAGACTTTCCAGGACAGTGTAGAATGGTCCCTCCCCGAGTCTGACAGCCCCTGAGAACATCAAACTGGCGCAGAGGGAAATGAATCCATAGTTGGGACGCTCCTTCCAGATGATGTCACGGTATCCTCTTGCACTGAAGATACCTCTCTGGGGGAAGAAATCTCAGTTATTAGGAAGAGATGGCTAATAGTGATGAGAGATTTAATCATTAGAAATATAGATAGCTGGGGTTGTGATGACCGGGAGAACAACATGGAGAATTGCCTGCCGGGTACGAAGGTTGTGGATCTCTCCAGACATCTAGACAGTCCTATGTGCAGTGCTGGGGAGGAGCTGGTGATCGTGGTACATGTAGGTACCAATTACATAGGGAATGATAGGAGAGAGATCCTGGATGCCAAATGTAGGCTATTAGGTAAGAGATTGAAGTCCAGGACCTCCATGGTAGTATTCTCTGAAATGCTTCCAGTTCTACACACAGGGCCAGGGAGAGCTGCAGGGTCTCAATGTGTGAATGAGACAATGGTGTAGGGAGGAGGTTTTAGGTTTATTAGGAACTGGGGCACCTTTTGGGAAAGGAGGAACTTTTACAGGAAGGATGGGCTCTTCCTAAATCACAATGGAACCAGATTGCTGGCATGTAAAATTGAGAAGATTGTAGAGGAGCTGGGGGAAAGGGCTGGGGGAAAGCTGACCGTACAGAGGATTGAGACATCCCATAGAGGAGACTCTATTAACAGGGATTCTCTATATCCTAGTAAAGATGAGAGGATAGAAGTTGTTAGATTACAGCTAGGACCTGAAGAGAAACAGTCAAGTGAAAAAGTGTCCCATTCAATTACATCACATGAAGGCAGACAACTAAAAAATGACACATTTTATAGAGTACTTGTATACAAATGCTAGAAGTCTAAATACTAAGATGGGTGAATTTGAGTGCCTGGTATTAAGTGAGGATATTGATAAATGAGGATTAAATGAGGATTTTGATGCATCAGAGAAACTTGGTGGAATGATGATAATCAATGGGATATGGTAATACTAGGGAACAAAATATATAGAAATGACAAGAGTAGATCATGTTGATGGGGGAGTGGCACTAGATGTGAAAGAAAGCATGGAGTCAAATATAGTAAAAAAAAAAAAAATTAAATGAATCAAATTGTATCATAGAATCTCTATGGATAGAATTTCCAAGCCTGAATAACAAGAGTATAGCAGTAGGAATATACTACCAACCACCTGACCAGGATGGTGATGGTGATTGTGAAATGCTCTAGGAGAATAGAGAGGCTATAAAAGTAGAAAACTCAATAATATTGGGGGGATTTCAACTATCTCCATATTGACTGGGTACATGTCACCTCAGGATGGGATATTGAGATAAAATTTCTAGACACCATTAATGGCTGCTTATTGGAGCAGCTTCTCCTGGACCCCACAAGAGGAGAGGGAATTCTGGAATTAGTGCTAAGAGGAGCACAGGATCTGGTCCAAGAGGTGAATATAGCTGAACCACTTGGTAATAGTGACCAAAAAGTAATTAAATTTAACATCCTTGTGGGAGGGAAAATACCAAAGCCCAGCACAGTAGCATTTAACTTCAGAAAGGGGAACTTCACAAAAATGAGGAAGCTAGTTAAAGGAAAATTAAAAGGTACAGTCACAATAGCGAAATGCCTTCAAGCTTCATGGAACTTTTGTACATGAAACTTTTTAAAAACACCATAATAGTGGCGCAAATTAAATATATACCCCAAATTAAAAAACAAAGTAAGAGGACCAAAAAAGTACCACCATAGCTAAACAACATAGTAAAAGAAGCAGTTAGAAGCAAAAAGGTATCCTTTAAAAATTGGAAGTCAAATCCCACTGAGGAAACTAGAAAGGAGCATAAACTCTGGCAAGCCATGTGTAAAAATAGAATTAGATAGGCCAATAAAGAATTTGAAGAACAGCTAGCCAACGACTCAAGATCTAACAGCAAATTGTTTTTTGCGTACATCAGAAGCAGGAAACCTGTCAAACAATCAGTGGGGCCACTGGACAATGGAGGTGCTAAAAGAGCACTCAAGGAAGACAAAGCCATTGAGGAGAAGCCAAATGAATCCTTTGCATCTGAAGGATGTGTGGAAGATTCCCACACCTGAGCCATGCTTTTTAGGTGACAAATCTGAGGAACTGTCCCAGATTGAGGTGTCAATAAAGGAGGCTTTGGAACAAATAGATAAATTAAACAGTAATAAGCCACCAGGACCAGATGGTGTTCACCCAAGAGTTCTGAAGGAACTCAAATATGAAATTGCAGAACTATTAAGTATGGTGTAAACAATCACTTAAATGGGCTTTGGTACCAGATGACTGGCGGATAGCTAATGTGACACCAGTTTTTTTTTAAAAGACTCCAGAGGCGATCTTAGCAATTTTACGCCTAACTTTAGTGCCAGGCAAATTGGTTGAAACTATAGTAAAGAACAGAATTATCAGACACATAAATGAACACGATTTGTTGGGGAAGAGTCAACATAGCATTTGTAAAGGAAAATCATGCCTCACCAATCTGTTAGAATTATTTTAGGGGGTCAACAAGCATGTGGACAAGGGTGATCCAGCGGATATAATGTATGCGGACTTTCAGAAAGCCTTTGACAAGGTACTACACCAAAGGCTCTAAGAACATAAGAATGGCCATACTGGATTAGACCAAAGGTCCATCCAGCCCAGTATCCTGTCTACCGACAGTGGTCAATGCCAGGTGCCCCAGAGGGAGTGAACCTAACAGGTAATGATTGGTGATCTCTCTCCTGCCATCCATCTCCACATGCTGACAAAAAGAGGCTAGGGACACCATTCCTCACCCATCCTGGCGAATAGCCATTAATGGACTTAGCCTCCATGAATTTATCCAGTTCTCTTAAACAAAGTAAGCAATCATGCTCACTGCTATAACTATAATGCCTGGGGCCAAATTTCGAAAGCAGCTTTCAGAAGTGTACCGAGTTTGCAAGTGAAAACCTTGCACTTGTGCATGCAAAATGCCAAGGGCCTGATTCTGATTTCAATGGGACTACTTGGTAATGAGGTATGGTGCATTGTGAATAAGGGTGCAGAATATCAGGCTTTAGAGCTGAGGTACTCACAGTAGGGAACAGAACCTGTAAGTGGCTATTTTAACAGACAAATGGGGGATTTCACTTCTGGACATTCCTTTTAGAAATACTGCCTTATGTACATAACATGACTCTGAGATAGGACAGAGGAAGAACTGATAATCCAGCTTGTCTTTATCACAGTGACATTCTAAATACATTTTCCTAATTGAAAATGAAACTTTCTTGTAATTTCAGAAGGCTTTGTTGAAACTGACTGCATACCCTTGCATCTTTGACATGCAAGATAAGATTGTGGTTTATGAAATTGACCGCCAAATTCTGTTCAGGATATATAACGTAAGTATTGCCAAAGTCAATGAGGTTTTTTTAACAATTTAAAAACTAAAAGAATGTAAAGCTTGTAATGCATTGTCTATTTTGTTTTGTAGGCAAACTCTTTCCTGGTGCCACGAGGTCCGTGGTGTTTAGAGATCAGAAGAACACACCTTGTGGATGATGTGTGGCAGTGTTTGAGGAGCGCACCACCTAAAACATTTGAGAAATTCTTGAAAGTAAGAAATCAAGCTTGATTATTTTGTTAGCTCTGAATATATTGCTCTAGAGTACTTTGCCTTTATTATAGCTCATAACCAACAAGGACATCTTTTCAGCATTCATCAGGCATTTTAAAATCCAGTTAAAAATGAAGGAGGGAAAAGTATCATGGAAATTACTGAAAAGCATGTTCCATGTAGGCTAGAATTAGCTTCTCAATCTTGGCACATGTGGCAATTAAGCTTTGTTTGATTAAAGCAAGGGGCTAATACAAATACCCAGTGAATGGCAGGTGGTTTAATTAATTATGAAATAGCTTGGGTGGGGGGGATGACTTGCTGGCTAAGGGAACTGGTCATGGGCAACCTGCATAGATCTCACTACATAGGTTTCTATTTTCCAAACTCATATTAGCACTACCCAATGGAGTACTCTTTCACTGCTAGGTCACCTCCTTATGGCTGTTGGGTAGTCTGCTGTATGTGAAAGTGGTGGCCAGGCAAACCCATGTGTGTACAACACATCTCCATGATCAGCGCTAGGGGCCAAGAATTGACTTGGCCACAGAGACTAACTGCTGCTGTCCTGAGTGGAGATGGTCCCCCGCACACCATGGATGAGACGCCCCAGTGGCACAGCATGGGAGATGACTGTGTTGCTCCTGCCTCTGCTGTACCATCATGTAGTTACAAAGGAGGCCTCCGTTTCAATTTCTGTCGGTCTGGCACCAACGATGATGGAAAAACAATTAGATGGATGAGTGACTAAGGTCTTGACCTTGCAGGAAATCTGGGTAGTGGACTTTAATGGAGCTCAGCATGGGCACAGGATCAGGATCTGCATAGATCTCACGACAGCATCATAGGGTCATAAAGGGTTCTATGTTCCAAACTCCTAGTATCAGCACTACGCACTGGAGTGGTCTGGTTATCCGATCTATGCCACGAGAGACAGCAAATGCAATAACTCTTATTATCCAATATTTTTTTTTCTTTCGGTGGTGGCCCTTCTTCCCTGCCAGCGGTTCCCACCCCGCATCTACCGCAGCAGTGCGAACACGCAGGTTCACTCTGCCGTTTATGCCATGACTTACAGCATCCAATGCCCTGCTTGCAGCTTTGCTTCATTAAGCAACACATCAAAAATATTGTCTGCCCTCCCAGATTATAACTAGTTGCTTTTCCCTAGAGCATCTTATGACTGTCTTATTACTGTCTTCTGATTTCTCAGTAGCTAAGTCTTTAAGAATATTTACCTGTAGTTTGGTTTCTGTGAAAATGGGATAAATATGCTACCTGATTCCTCTCTACCTCATAGTGTTGGGCAGTGTCATGGCTTGCTGTCGTCTTGTGCTATATCCAAAGGGGGCCAGCTCTTGTTTCCCAGAGTTAGACTTGAGGGGCAGGGAGGTAGCAAAGAATGAATCTGGTAGACTTGTATTCTTTGATTTATTGCTGTATTTGTTCTGCCAACTTCTACAAGTGGCTCTATCTTACTTAGGGTCATAGTAGTTAAGTTATAGACGCGCCCCACAGATCACTGAGTCTATCCCAATGCAAGGAATAGCTTTCCCCTACGCCATTAGAAGCCACAACCAATGTTAACCAGTCCCCACAAGGCCGTCCCTAGGGGGATGCAGGACCCGGGACATGGACGCTGAGTTTCTAATCTGCTGGGGGTTGCTCCCCCTGCTCTGCCTGGGCCCTGCCCCCACCCCGCCCCTGCCCCACCTCTTCCGCACCCAGTTCCGCCCCCTCCCCCGAGAACACTGCGCCCTCACTTCTCTCCCCTCCCTGCCAGCACCTCCTGACACCGCAAAACATCTGATCTGCGGTAGGCGCTGAGAGGGAGCGAGACCTACCGGTGGGCAGGAGAAGGTTCTGGTGGGGAGGCCCCTCACCGCCCCCTGCGGGGCCCCCAGCAGTCATCCCTATTCACCATGCCTAAGGGATGGCTCTGAGTCCCCATATATGTGACCAGCCAGAATCACAGGCTCAGAGATGCACTTTGCAGGAACGTATATAAATCGCACTACCCAGATAGGTATCCAACACACAGATGTTACTCTTCAATTTTAAGATGGAGATATTTGTTACTGAGCTGTAAATGGAAGCACATTTCCAACCTAAGCTTAAAAGGTTACGTAGGGAGAGTTTTCTGCTCCTTCACCCTTACCCTCTTGCATTTTACATCAAGGTGGCAACAGTATGCATAAGGACAATTTGTACATGTATGGTCTAGCTCATGCAGGGGAGTCACTTTTGCTACCACCATTCTGTGTCTCAACATCACAGCTGTCTCTCTCTGTCCATCTAGGAGTGCCTATTTAAGTTAATATGACTGGCACTGGTTGACTAAAGGCTGTCTACGTGGTGGGGTAATGCACTAAACGTGGCTGTGCTTTCTAAAGCGCACAAATGTGTTGTGTGTTAATTGGTCCCTGTAGACCCTGCTTTTGCACTCTAATGGTTCCCTAGTAGTGCACTTTAACACAGTAGTTTCAAACAGAACTATGTTGAAGTGCACCACCAGGGTGTACCCAGACCAATTAATACACATGTCCCTGCGCTTTAAAAAACACTCCACCTCCATAGCGCGCATTACCCCACCTAAGACTTAGAAATGGGTGAGAACCAAGAGTCACCTAACAACAAACAGCGGGTACTTTAATAGGCCAGATTCTAAGCCCTGCTCTACTCCCTTTGTACTGCATTTCCCCAGACAGCATAGATCTGGCAAGGGGCTGGGGAGAGGGTATGGTTGCTGCAAGCCGCACTACTGCTATCCCCAGCTGGTAGGGACCTTTGCCGGTTGGCACAGGTTCCAGGAGCCCCCAGGCTACTATCCCATGAATAGGTGTGCCAGCTCTGCTATCCTGGCAATCATAATAATGCCTATTTCAGTAATAACAAATGCCCTGTCTTCCTTCCCCCTATAATTTAATTAGAGACATTACTTTTCACTACCCCATCTAAAATTAGACCTATAGTGTTACAGGCACATAAATGGATGCCACCTACAACGTGGCTGCATTTCAGTAGGGACCGAAGAGCTCCTAATGCAGAGTCTGCAAAGCACATGTGGATACAAGTTTGATGTATTATACTCTTTATTTCCATAGTACAGTAAGACAAATGCATTCTACTGCAGACATCAGTTCAAACCAGCAAGGCAACTACCGAATTATGGTGCTGCTCATTTAAAGAGGCATAGTGAAACTCACCATAACCTATTTAAAAAATTCATCTCAATCAGTGCACAACATTTATTCTTTTCAAAGACACAACAGCTTTGACGGGCTAGTAGCATAGCCTTACAACTCACCAATAGGTTTTGCTGGGACATGCTAACATGGAGGAGGAACAAGAGAAATGTTATTTAATTATCTCTCTCAGCAGTAATGAGGCCATTGTGCATCAAGGCTTGTGCAGAAAGTTACATTTTCAGGCATCATTGGGAGATTAATAAAGACCACCACTTATGCTAGGAGACTATTGCAACTGCATGGAATATAATATTAGGGTGTGGGTAGGTGAAGATACATCGCTCTCTCCGAGCGGCCACAAGGTTGGCAAGTCTATTTTTGTGGTGCCTTCCAAGCTTTTGCCTTATTAGTTGTGTCTAAAAAGTTTAATACCCATCCAGGTCCAAAGGTGAAAGAACACGTAAACTGGTATGGTAATAGGAAGAAGCAGACTGTAGAAACACAAGCTGGTTGTGCTGGTGCAGCCCTCTGGGAACTTTTCATCCACACTGGCTGAATAAAACAGACCCACTAAGGACAACAGTGGAACAAGTACAGTTAGCGTAGGCAGTGACAGAAACATCTTTCTTCCCCAGTTACTGTGGGCGTAGGTTAGTCTTCAGGTTTTGTCTGAATGATGACGGCTATCTAGGTTTGCTTCGGTTCCTCACCCTGGGCCTTTCTGTCAATCATCCTTGCGGCCTGAGGGATCATATTAGGAATGCCATCAATGATCGGATACGCGATGCCCAGCTCTTTGTTAATTAGTTCATTGGTGGATGCTTCATACCTGGTTAAAAAAAATTGAACAGTAGATACAATGACCTGGGTTGTTGTTGTTGAAGATTTTGGGTTGGGTTTTTTTTTTTTATTTTTGGAGGGGGGTGAAAGACAACTGAAACGAACATCTCAATGGAAGTATGTAGCTAGAAACTATGGAACTAGTAGAATTATCCTAACAGAAAGTAACCAGGACACATTCTCAAAGCAGGAAATCATGCCTTCAGATAAAGATACTATTTAGAATGGAGGTAGGGTGTGACTCTTCATAACAAAATTTATAACATTTAAATTATGAAAACTCTTCTTAAGTGCTTGGGCACCCTACAGCAGTGCAGTTGTGAACTAAGATTTTGTGTAGAAAATGCCATTCAGCTCAGTTGTACTTCACAATTATATACTCAAGGCTATTCATAGGGTACTTTCCGATTGTGTTTGTGTCTGCAATGGCAGAGGTGTAAAAATAAATTATGGCAAACTGTAGCTTCCACAGAGCACATGTGCTAGTCATGAACCCTAGAGATTACATTGAGTTCTCACCTTTTTGCTGTGTTTCAATTAATTCTAGTAGATATAAATAGCATGCCCAAGGAGGTGAAAATGGAGGAAGAGCATGAGTGGGTGTGACACACACAGACACCCCTACCTTCCATTGTAACTCCTTTCCTTCTCCCAGGCAGATATACAGTTCAGTTAATGAACAGCTGCAGAAAATTGGAAGTGAGTGACCTGCCAAAATTGACTTATCTGATGGTATAGGCTCTCATTCAAATTAACTTTATGGCTGATTTAAAAACCAGCTCCTTTTGCGAAGAGAGCAGAGGTTGGCAAACTATGGCCCGTAGGACCCTTCTGCCTGGCCCCGGAGGCTAGTCCCCAGCCCCTCCCCCGCAGCCTCAGCTCACTGTGCTGCCAGTGCAGTGCTCGGGGAGGGGGGGGCTGTGAGGCTCCTGGGGCAGTGCAGCTGCAGAGCCCGGCGGGACCTGGTGCTCGGTGCTGCGCGGGGCGTGGCTGGCTCCAGCCGGGCGGCACGGCTGCCTGTCCTGGTGCAGCCACTCGGGAAGGGGGCAGGGGGATTGGATAGAGGACAGGGGAGTTCAGGGTGGTGGTCAGGGTGTGGGTGGGGCTGTGACAGTTAGAGAGCAGGGAACGGGGGGGGTTGAATTGGGGGCAGGGGTGCCAGGGGCGCAGTCAGGAAGGAGAGGGGGGATTGGATGGGGTGGGGGTTCCAGGGGCAGTCAGGGGACAGGGAGAAGGGGTGGTTGGATGGGACAGGGGTCCCGGGGGCACAGTTAGGAAGGGGGGGGGTTGGATGGGGTGGGGGTTCCGGGGGCAGTCAGGGGACCGGGAGAAGGGGTGGATGGATGTGGCGGGGGGCAGTCAGGGGACCGGGAGAAGGGGTGGATGGATGTGGCAGGGTCCCGGGGGTAGGGGCAGTCAGGAAGGAGAGGGCGGGTTGGATGGATGGGGCAGAGGTCCCGGGGGGGGGCAGTCAGGGGACAGGGAGAAGGGGTGGATGGATGGGGCAGGGGTCCTGGGGGGGGCAGTCAGGAAGGAGAGGGAGAGTTGGATGGGGTGGCAGGGGTTACTGGGGAGGTCAGGGGACAGGGAGTGGGATGGGGCAGGGGTCCCGGGGGCACAGTTAGGAAGGGGGGGGGTTGGATGGGGTGGGGGTTCCGGGGGCAGTCAGGGGACCGGGAGAAGGGGTGGATGGATGTGGCAGGGGGCAGTCAGGGGACCGGGAGAAGGGGTGGATGGATGTGGCAGGGTCCCGGGGGTAGGGGCAGTCAGGAAGGAGAGGGCGGGTTGGATGGATGGGGCAGAGGTCCCGGGGGGGGCAGTCAGGGGACAGGGAGAAGGGGTGGATGGATGGGGCAGGGGTCCTGGGGGGGGCAGTCAGGAAGGAGAGGGAGAGTTGGATGGGGTGGCAGGGGTTACTGGGGAGGTCAGGGGACAGGGAGTGGGATGGGGCCGGGGTCCCGGGGGGGCCAGCAGGGAATGGGGGGGTTGGATGGGGCGGGGGGCCAGCAGGGAATGGGGGCGTTGGATGGGGCGGGGGCCGGGCCACGCCTGGCTGTTTGGGGAGGCACAGCCCCCGGCCAACCCTCCCTCCACGCAACTTCCTAAACCCGGTGCGGCCCTCAGGCCAGCAAGTCCGCCCGCCCCGCCTGAGAGGCTCTTGCTGTGTTTTCCAGCAGGACAGTGACGTGTCACTTCGGGTCCCTGCTGGGTTAAAATCTCGTCTCCCAGGAGGACGGGGCGGGAGCCACGTGGCTGGCGGGCAGAGGACGCCGCGGGGGCGGGGAAGGGGAGCGTGTTGGCTGCCGGCAGGAATTACGGGGCCAGGGTCTCGGGCTTGCCCCGTGCGGCAGCAGCTCCCCAGGGTCCCCGAAGCTCTCCGAGCCCAAGGGAAGGGGCGGGAGGCCGGCCTCACCTCAGCGGCTGCTTGGAGAGCGGGCAGACCAGGAACTGCAGCACAGCCGGGTCGAAGGCCGTGGGCTGCTCCTGGCCCTCCGGCCTGTCCGAGGAGTGGCTCAGGGCTGCCCCCGGGCCGGGTCTGTGAGCAGCCGCTGCCGCGCCGGCTCCCGCGGGCTGGGGCTGCCTGCAGAGCAGCACTGAGGCGAGCGTCCTGCTCACATACCGTCCTCGCATGGTCCTGCTCTGCCGCGGCTGTGCTGACTCACAGGGCCAGCCTCCTCCTCTCTGCCCCTCCTTCCTTCCTTCCTTCCTGCGCCGGCCTGGGAGAGTCCCTGTGCAGCCCGGGCTGCTTGCCCCTCGGTTCCTAGTCATCAGCCGGTGCTGCCTTGCTCTCAGCTGCACCCACCCCCCTTGCTTCTCCTGCGCTGGGGTATTCATGGCAGCTGCTCCTGCCTTGGTCCCAGCTCCTCTTTCCCTTCGGCCCCCGCCAGAGGTATTCAGTTATCACTGGTTTCAGAGTAGCAGCCCTGTTAGTCTGTATTCGCAAAAAGAAAAGGCTACTAGTGGCATCCTTATCACTGTCACTTGGCTCGCCGCGCTGTCAGCTAATTAAGCTATTTCTCCCATGGTGTGGGAGGCAGGCACGGTGGTTTCTATTTTCTAAATACTTGGAGACTCTCAGAGACTCAGGTGTAGGTACTACATCAGTACCATACTAGATTAATGGATCAACAGAGGTAGCCATTTAATCTCATTCTAAAACAAGGAGGAGTATAAATCTGTTTGAAGGTGCCACCAGACTCCTCGTTGTTTTTGTGGATACAGACTAACACGGCCACCCCCTGATACTTAATCTCATTCGAAGCACTTCCCTGAGCAGGTCAACCATGGCGACAAGCTGAGGCTATAGCTGTTTGTGCACCTCTAGGAAAAGTTGTCGGACCATTCCCAGACATACGCTCCCCCGGAGTTGACAAATTGTACTCGTGTGGAGGGTCAGCAATACTTCCTTGTGGGGAGTTAATTTTTAGTCTATTTTTATTTTTAATCTCACTGATGAGGAAAGAATTTGTTGAGTTGATTTCAGTGGGACATTGGAATTTCTTTTGAAATCTTGCTTGTTCAACATATTACAGCTTGACTGCTCTAAATCTTTGTTTTCAGAGATTTATAACTTGCTCAGGAAAAAATGGTTCCAGTGGGAAACTGGGAAAAGAGAATCTAGGGTGTTTTAAACCCAGTTAAAAAAAGAAAGAAAGAAAAACAAACAAAAATACCAAATACTTAGTACCTAATGTCATTCAGTGTCATAAAAATAATGAGACAAAAATTATTACATTTTGGCAAGTGAGCTTCCCCATAGCCCGCATTTTGACCTGAATACCTGCTGACATACAGAAAAAATCTGAACTCCCCAAACTGGGTCGGCAAATGCCCCAGATAATGCAGCACTTGCTTTGATGTTTGATGTCGCAGAGCTGCCCCACCAGAAGAGGGCACTCTATCAAATATTTCAGTAATCATACAAAAGGTAACTGAAGCACATGGAAGCCACATGTGTTCCAAATGTGGACACGGCTACTGGATTTTGTAGATGCTATTTACTGCTGCTATGATACGACAGGGATGGAGCAGCAAAACACAACTGGGAGGTGAAGTGGAGGAGCAAAGAGGGGAAGGGAACGTATGGGAGAGATTGGAGGAGTAGAGAAGTATATTGGAGAAGTTGAAAATGCATTGGGGAATAGAATGAAAGAGCACTTCAAAGAAAGCATACCACAAGAGAAGACTTGAGAGAGAGAGAGACCCTGTATCAGGCATGAGAGAGCACAGAATAATGGGAGTGGGAGCCTGAATTTATTACAGACGTGCAAGAGGACATTTCCTTGGATTCTTTTATACTTTACAAGTTGAGGCCTATGTGACTACTATACATGCTATAATTTTTTTTTCATAAGCATGTCTAACACTCATTTTAAATTAACAAAGTATTACATTTATTTACACAACAGTCAGGCTTAGCTGTTCAGGAAACTCCTACCTGGATAATTTATTTCTATCCAGGGGTTCTGAGATTATCAGAAACCATGACCCAAAAGATCATGTGATTTATTATTGTCGCTAGAATGGCAAGAAGGAATTACAGCTATATACAGCAATCCACATTTGGGGAGTATAGAGTTTTCTGAGAACCAGTATACAAATGATGCAGAACAGTAAATACATATAATTTTATTTTAATGGCATTGTGTGTGCATGTGTGTGTTATATATAACAAATATCAGAGGTTTTTTTAATGCAGATATGGCTATTATTTGGAATTAAAATTGGGTAATACCAACTGATTTCCACTAGATGGTGCTATGCTGTTTATAAAATAAGGTTTAAGCTCAAGCTTCTGTGCTTATTCCAATGTAAAAAACTACCAGTAGTGTTTTCGGTAAGTGAATGTATTGTTATCAAAAGGCCAGTGTCACCTTTCCGTTCTCTTCTCCCACTGAGCCATCTCAAAAGACAGCCTTGGAAATAGTAGTCTCCTACTTATTCACACAGCAGGCATGGTGCATAAAGCCACAGTGCAAATTTGCCCCTTGTGTAGCCATTTACATCTGGGCAAAGGGAGTGTAGAACATTACCAAGTCAGAATGATAGCCTTTTCCACCCCCCACTTGGCCCTGCTGTAAATAACTGCACAGGTTTCAGACCAACAGTGATATATATCCTAGGGGTGAAATTTTGTCCCCATTGAAATCAATGGGAGTGTTGTCACTAATTTCTTTGGGGTCAGGATTTCACCCCTCATGCATATAACATTCACGTGTGGCTTATCATCATTAAAGGGGGTGTCAATAGCTGTCTAGCTGGCATCTTTCAACAGCACTGAGAGCAAATATTGGTGAAGCAAAGGAACCTGTGAAAACTGGGCAGGGGAAGAATTAGTGCCTTGGATTTAAGGATAAGGATCTAATTTGTCAGATTATGGTACCAGTACTGCCAACTTCAAGCATTCAAAAAAATCACTAGTCAGGCCCCAAAAATTATAAAACTGTCTTAAAATGCATAAGATCTTTAAAAATAATACATTTTGGATTCTTTTTATTTGCTTTCTGGTTTTAGGAACCTGCGTTCATGTTTTCAAGCTTGCTTCTGCAACTACAAAGGCTAGACATTTTTTTCAAAATGTTTTTTCACATATGCACATGACTCCAAGAGCTGGGGCTTTCAGAAAAATACCAACTAGCACAAGACTCGAAATAAAATTATGACAGCTGACAACACTGTGGTATCACTTATAACTTTTCCTCCTTCTAACTCCATCTCCTGTCCAGTATAACAGATGATGATCATTCAAGGGTAAACACACGGAAGTGTTTCATGCTGAACAGCCACTGCAGTTATGGGTATTCAATCTGTTATTGCCACCTCTGCAAACGAGGGCCCCAACCTTGCAATTTCATATGCATTGACAGTCCCTTGCACCTACATCGAGCTCTCTGCAGATTTCAGGGCCCAAGTAACTGCCTAGTGCTGGGAGGAGTTGTGCAAGTGATCATTTCAGTATGGACACAAGAACAGTGATTTTCTTGGGGTCTTTTTGGACTGTTCAGGTGCAGTTCGTTGGAGAACAAGGTATTGATGATGGAGGGTTGTCCCAGGAGTTCTTCACTATCATTACAAGGGAACTGTGTTGTCCAGAAGCACAGATATTCAGAAGTTTGGAGGACTCCAAGCTGATTTGGTTCCCCTCTCAGGTGAGTTATTAAGATGATACTTTTCAGAGGAACAGCCGTGTTAGTCTGTATTCGCAAAAAGAAAAGGAGTACTTGTGGCACCTTAGAGACTAACCAATTTATTTGAGCATGAGCTTTCGTGAGCTACAGCTCACTTCATCAGATGTATACCGTGGAAACTGCAGCAGACTTTATATACACACAGAGAATATGAAACAATACCTCCTCCCACCCCACTGTCCTGCTGGTAATAGCTTATCTAAAGTGATCAACAGGTGGGCCATTTCCAGCACAAATCCAGGTTTTCTCACCAGACTCCAGCGAGAAACTGCTGAATTGGAATTCATTTGCAAATTGGATACTATTAATTTAGGCTTAAATAGAGACTGGGAGTGGCTAAGTCATTATGCAAGGTAGCCTGTTTCCTCTTGTTTTTTCCTACCCCCCCCCCCCAGATGTTCTGGTTTAACTTGGATTTAAACTTGGAGAGTGGTCAGTTTAGATGAGCTATTACCAGCAGGAGAGTGAGTTTGTGTGTGTATGGGGGTGGGGGGGATGTGAGAAAACCTGGATCTATGCAGGAAATAGCCCGACTTGATTATGTAAAGAGTTGTCACTTTGGATGGGCTAGCACCAGCAGGAGAGTGAATTTGTGGGGGGGGGGTGGAGGGTGAGAAAACCTGGATTTGTGCTGGAAATGGCCCACCTGTTGATCACTTTAGATAAGCTATTACCAGCAGGACAGTGGGGTGGGAGGAGGTATTGTTTCATATTCTCTGTGTGTATATAAAGTCTGCTGCAGTTTCCACGGTATACATCTGATGAAGTGAGCTGTAGCTCACGAAAGCTCATGCTCAAATAAATTGGTTAGTCTCTAAGGTGCCACAAGTACTCCTTTTCTTTTTAAGATGATACTATTTTTTAACCTCACCTTAAAAAAAAAAAACCTCCTTTTAGCTGGTATTTCCCCATATGACTGTCACCCCTTCATGTTTTTATGAACTGGCTCGCCATCTGGGTCATGTCTTCTGTGAGAAACAGACTTAGAAATGCTGCATATCTCCCTGTGGGCAGTGCTTGGATTCCACTGAGCAAGCTCAGCCTCCATTAGGGGAAATCCTGGAGTCCCACCAACAACCAGATTCTCAGTTAAAGGAGTTTCCAGTTCATATTTTGGGCCTCAGAAATGCTTGCTCCTTTAAATAACAGGCATAGGGTTCTGTATGTATGCAGTTACTTCTTTATTTACGCATAGGGTATGTTCACTGCAATCAGGAGGTGTGATTGTAGGACACATAGACAAACATGAGATACTTTTGAAGTTAGCTCAAGTAACAATCGCAGCGAAGCTACAGTGGCACGGACTAGCCCTGTCTGCCCAGGACCCTGGGCATATACTTGAGTGAGTGTCATCTGTGCTGCTGCAACTTCACTGCTATTGCGAGATCAAGGTTCGCTCAGGTGTATCTACATATGCTGCAATCACACCTCCCAACTGCAGGTTAGACATAACTATAAGAGAGTGTCAGTGACTTGCCCAGGCACTCAGCAGCAGAACGATGAATACAATTCACGAATCCAGACACCCAGTCCCCTGCCTCTAGCCACTAGACACACTCCCTCCCCACCATAATAAAAGTCAGTAATAAGGGTTTTGTTTTGTTTTTTAAACACACAAACTAGGTACCAGGAAGCGAAGACACCTTTTTCCTGATTGGCACTCTGTTTGGAATGGCACTGTATAACATGAAGATCGCTCCCTTTCATTTCCCTCTAGCTCTGTACAAAAAGTTGCTGGATATTCCACCCACTCTAGAAGACTTAAAAGAGCTGTCTCCTACAGAAGGGAGGTATGAAAACAATTTCCCAAGCTTTGTGCCATTAAATAAAAGTATGTGGGGGGAGGGTCTCCTACTTTGTGGTGTGCATAGAAACCACTAAAAACAGAGCTAAATACAGTTATTCAAGTGCATGCCTTCAATGAACTTATAATACCATACTGCTTTTGATATGATAATACTAGGACAGGGACATGCTCCAGAGATGAGACACTCAGGGTACGTCTGCCCTGCAAGTGGATTGCAGCACGTGTATACAAACCTGAGCTAGCTTTAATCGAGTTAGCATGAGTACCACTAGCAGTGAAGCTGCAGCAGTGTGGGCTAGCTGACTGGCTCAGTACTCGGAGTCCTGGGCGGGCTTGTATAGTTGATACTGATGCCCGCGCTGCCGTGGCTTCACTGGTATTGATATTCACGCTAATTAGATTGCGGATAGCTCGGTATGTCCACATGTGCTGCAGTCACTCCTTCGATTTCAGTGTAGACACACCCTAAGGGTGAAACTCTGCGCCCACTGAAGTCCACAGTGAAACTCCCTTTGTCTTCAGTGGGGCCAGGCATTGGACAAGCAGGAGGTTGAATTGCACCCCTGCAAACGGACAAGTTAAGGGCTTGTCTACACTACCAAGTTTTGTTGACAAAACTTATGTCGACACCCAAAAGTCAACAAAACAAAAAAATCGCCACAGGGTGTTCACACTTGCTCCCTCTGGTTGACAGATCATGTCCACACTGGGGAGACCATCATCGACAGGGTGAGCAATGCACTGTGGGTATGTATCCCACAGTGCAGTGTTGTGGGAAGAAAGAGCTGATCGCTGCATACCTTGGGATTCTCTCTGGGTTCTCCCACAGCCCCCTCAGCTGCCGAGAGCAGCATCGTGAGTAGCTCTGGGAGCTCTCCACAGTGACATGAATGACAAAACAGCGCAGCAGTCTGGCCCCCTCCCCCACAGCAGCAGTCTGCCTGCCGCTATGTTTCTAGCGCAGGGCAGAACAGGAGCATTCCAATGATTTGCTCTTTCTTTGTTTCCCAAACGGAGCAGCACACAGATACTTCCCGGAGCTTTGAAAGGGGAGGGGCACATGGCTGCAGGGAAGCAGAGATCAAAACACTGAGCAGAGCAATCAGGGCAGGCATTGTGGGATACTGGCGGAAGCCAGTTCTGTCGACAAAACAGTCAGCAGTGTCTACACTGGCTCTTTGTGGACAATAAAGGAAGGGGGAAAGACAAGTCTCTCATTGGGGTGGAAGTTTTTTGTCACCAAAACTGGGTGCTTTTCACGACAAAAGTCCCATTGTAGTGTGTACGCTCTTGCTGTTTTGTTGCCAAAAGGCAGTTTTTGGCGACAAAACTTGCAAGTGTAGACAAGCCCTAAGAATGTTGTTGGCTATAATTTAGACCTGGCTGAAACAAAGCTGCATCTTATTTAATAGTCTCCTGATTGGTGGGTTATAAATTTCTGTTGTGATTCCATTTTAACCAACTTAAATGTTTAGTATAACAGAATTATTTCTCCATGCTGTGATCATGTCAGATCTGAAAAACTAAGCTTTGGTTGCATTAGGTTTTGAATACGAGATTTCAGATATGTACAGCAGGAAATGGTGGTGGTGATTCAGTAGATAGTGTTATTCTCTTTGATTCAATTTTGAACCAATGTCCTATCATCAAGATGGGGATACTGTGGTGCTCATTCTGGCTGAGAAGTAAGAGACCAGGATCACAAAGACTGCATGGCAATTTATTTTGTTTGTTTTTTAATAGCATGTCTATTTCCTTCAGTGTCTTGGACAAGTTCCAACTTGGTTACTTGCATTCTGCCTACCCAACCTCCTCCCCCTGCTGTTTCACTTCTTATTTCACTAACTTGCACAGCACTTATCACCATGGCAACTAAGTGCTTCACACAAAAATTAAAAGAACAAACTATGAATAACATCAGTGAACCAAATTACCAAAAAATCTTCACTTCCTGTCTTAAATTGCTGTGTGGTGCTGCTGTGCACGACAAAATTGTTCTTATCTATAATCCCCATGGTCCATGATGGAATTGTCTTGACTCAGTAAACATAGCAGCCTCAGGCCTTGATTCTGCACACACTTACATATGTGAGTAACTGTCAGTGGGACTATTCATGTGTGTAAGGTTATTCACATATATAACTGTAGGACGGGGGTCCGAGGCTCCAGTCCTACAATGACCTGGGTGCAAGCTGACCCATACGTCTGCATGGAATTCCTTGAAAGTCAGGGGGGCTCTGCTCAGGCCACATGAAGCTCATTGCTGGATCAGACCTGAAGTTTATAGACCAGTTGTAGACCAATTTGTGGGTCATTCGGAATGAATGGTGCTAGATAAGATGTAAGACAAAAAATGTGTATATGTACTGAAATAGAAAATATTTTGCTAATTTGCGTTAACAAAATTATTTAGAGTCTATTTCCATATTGCTTCTTGTCTGACAGGAATCTTCAAGAAATGCTGGATGAAGACTATGATGACATCCTTGAGAACATGATGATGGATTTCACAGTAAGCCATTATCATCCTACTTACGGGCCCAGCTCTGCAAACACTTATACACAGAGTAACTTGATTTATGAGTAGTCCTGTTGAAATCAGCACAACTGATCATATAAGTTAAGCCCTCACCTTCATAAGTGTTTGCAGTATCAGGCTCAGTATAAAGAATAAGAATGGTATGAGTAAACCAGCATTCAATTTTTTACTTTGCCTTTGACTGTTGTAGATAATGAAGGAACAAGGAGGATCTATAGTTTCCATCGAACTTAAAGAAAATGGTGCAGACATTCCAATCACAAAGCATAACAGGTAGTTTTCTCTCTCTTTCTCTATACACACACACACTTTTCTTTAAGCATCTAGTGTTTTAGTTTCTGTCCTGGAAGAGGTATCGATTTATATATATATATAAAATTTGATTTTAAACTGTAAGATTTTTCTTTCGAGCAAATTGTTTGTTACATAGGACAGAAGGATAGTTGGAAGTAAAAGTTCATTAACCTTACAGTGTATCAGGGATAACCTCAACACAGGGGTAACTGGGAGATGATAGTCTTTGGTCTGTGTTATGCAGAAGCTCAGAAATGGTCCCGGCTGGGCTTAAAATCTCTGAATCTGAAAGCCCTATTTAAGCCCTATATATAATATTTAAAATGGGTAGATGATATAGAACTACAATTCCAGTGAATCATTCCTATCACAAATAAAAAGAAGAATCAAACTGAGTTAAACCTATGTAAATCCAGAATAATTCTGTTGACTTCAATGGGTGTTACTCTGGATTTATTCCACTGTAAAACAGAGCAGAATATGGACCAGGGGTCTGTGTTCATAAATGTGCATGCAGCACAAAATAAAGAATACCTGCCATGTCTTACTCTGGGACCCTTGGCTACTACTACAATATAAACAATTAATAAGAATGACCTTATAATGTATAAAAATAGCACAGAAAATGCATTCATGGGGGTGACTGAATTGACAGTCATTTGTAGTGGCCATTCGTGTTTGTTTATGTACATAAGTAATCCTATTGAACTCAGTGGGATGGCTACGCATGTGCACAATGTTTCTTGCATGTGTTGGATTAAGGCCATATTCAGGAATGAACTATTGTAGGTTTCCCCTTTAAAGTTGTCCCTCAGTCTGTTTCACTAAAAGCAAGAAATCTACAGCATTCGGTTGATATCTTTGCAGGAAAGAATACGTCAATGCATACGTGAATTATGTGTTCAATGAATCGGTAAAGAAGCCATTTGAGGATTTCAGGAATGGGTTTTTAAGAGGCTGTCCAGCTAAAAAGTGGAAGCTCTTCCTTCCTATCGAGTTCCTTACTGTTTTCCGTGGACATACAAAATATGACTGGAAGCTGCTGGAAGAGGTAATGCAGTCCAGCAGAGCATGCACCTGCTTCACTTGCTGAATATAGGTTCCCTGTCTTTGTTCTTTTGTCGAGTACATATCCCATGAATGAGAGAATAGGTGTTCAGGGGCCTGGTAAGAGATGAGGGGCTTTTCACTTAGGCTCACACCAGTGACCCAATTAATTGTTCCTAGTGGCTACTAGTCATTTTGGGGCTAAACAGGTTGATATTCCTTTAAATTCTTTTGGGTTGTGCTGTTGTCTCATTTTTAGTGCTCTGTAGCCAAAGAAACATGATCTGGAGGTCCATGCTGCAGAGTACCGCACCAAGCATGCTTTGGGCACTCAAAACAGTAGGAGTGGTGCCTTTGCTGACTATGCGTATGTACAGCATCTAGCACCATGGGGCCCCAGTTATGGCAGGGGTCGCTAGGCATTACTGTAATACAAATACTAATTACAATTTTCAGAGCTCCACCCATTACACCCTTGTTGGAAATTTGCCCCATATGAAAGACACCCCTTTGGTTTTCCTGGTACCACTTCTTAAGATAAAAAAAACAACAAACAAGAGAAGAATTAGAGATGGGCCTAAAGCAATACCCCGGATCTGACCTGAATCCTTCCCTCCCACCACCTTCAAGCTGCAAAGTGGGCATGTTAGAAATCCATTCCCAGATCTGAAATCCATGTACTATACTCCTTTCTCTATAGCTGGTTGAGGCAGACCCTTGATTAGAGTGCCCTGAACTTCTGCGTTAGTACAGGGGTGTTTAAAAATCTGAAATAAATAGGATGAAACTCAATGAGTCAACAATGTACCACTGTTGCAAAAAAAGTGATAATCATTCTGGGATGTATCAGTAGGAGTGTTGTAAGCATGCCATGAGAAGTAGTTCTTCCACTCTAGTCAGCACTGAGAAGGCCTCAACTGGAGTATTTTGTCCAGTTCTGGGCAGTGGGCACCACACTTCAGGAAAGATGTGGACAAATTGGAGAAAGTCCAGAGAAGAGCAACAAAACATGACCTATGAGGAAAGACTTAAAAAAACTGGGTTTATTTAATCTGGAGACGAAAAGACTGATGGAGGACATAACAGTCTTCAACTATGTAAATGCTGTTACAAAAAGGAGAGTGATGCATTGTTTTTCTTAACCACTGAGGACAGGACAAGAAGTAATGGTCTTAAACTGCAGCAGGGGAAAATTAAGTTAGACATTAGGAAAAACTTCCTGTCAGGGTAGTTAAGCACTGTAACAAATTACCTAGGCATCTTGTGTTATGTCCATAATTGAAGGATTTTAACAACAGGTTAGACAAATGAGTCTAGATAATGGGATGGTTTAGATAATACTTAGCAAGGTGCCTTCCGGTCTTATATTTCTAGACTAATGGGGCAGGGCTATTTTTATTCTCTTTGACAGAATACAAAGTACACAGATTATGAAAAGTCTGATCAAACCATCAAGAATTTTTGGGCTGTGTTTCATGAACTCCCAGAAGAAAAGAAGAAGAATTTTCTTGGTAATAAAACAGGCACTTTAAATAATGCACTAAATATTCTCTCTCTATTTAAAACACAAAAAAACATTTTGGTTGTAAAATAATTTTGCTTTAAATTGCTTTTTACTGTATTTGGCCTTGTTTTCATCATTTCCATGCCAGAGCCTTCTCTGCCAAATTTTAGTTCTGTTCCTTTAGGTCTCACTCTTAGACTCTGCCCCAGTGCATCTGACTTAGCAATGATTCTTCTGTACTTCATTTATTCTGAACATCCCTAGGTATCCTAACTTTATTCCACCTAAGGCTAATATAGAGCAAGTGGAGGTGATGGGTCATGAATCAGCATGCAGCTGAGGCCGGAGGTATTTGATTAGCTTCACAGCAATTACCTCATGAGAGTATTTAGTTTGATTAAATGGAAGAATATCTACTTCTTAATTCTTCATCTGCTGGAAATATTTTAGAAGTATGTGGTAGTGGTTAGAGCAGAGGACGAGGAGTCAAGACTTCTGCCTTTTCCCCCATCTCCCTCTTTGATTATATTGATTGATTATTAGTAGAGCTGGGGTGCAGATTTCTGTCACAATATTTTTTCTAACAGAAAATGCCATTTCTACAGGCAAAACTTACATTTTGCTGACACTCTTTGATTTTCCAAGAAAATCAAAACAAAATGTTTTGGGTCAGGTAGCCCCAAATTGAACATTTTGATTTTTTTAAATGAATCAAAATGTTTAGTTTCAGGTCAGTTCAGCATTAATCTATGCTCACCTGAGCAGCCCTAGAGCATTATGGAATTTGTAGTTCAGTTGCCCCATGCCCCCATTTTCTTTTATGGGCAAGTGCTCCCTGGCTGGACTGCATTTCCCATGATGCACCATAATGGTTCAACCAGCAGGGAGACTGTGATGCATCATGGGAGATGCAATCCAGCCAGGAAGCCCCATCCATACAGGAAAATTGGGGCATTAGGCACCAGCACTACAACTCCCATGAGACGCTGTGACATTTAAGGAAGGCCCCAGATTAATGTTGAACCAAGTCAAAATGAAACTTTTTAATTTGGTTCACCAAACCAAAATGAAATGTTTCAAATTTGGGAGTCCTGAAACATTTAATTTTGATTGAAAATGTTGAACAAAATGTTTAGACATTTCCTAATTGAAATGTTTATGACCTTTCCAGTCCATGAAAAAAATTGAAATTTGGATTTTTTTTCCTGATTTGGGATGACAACAAATGTCAAAATATCAGCAATTCCCCACAGGACAGAAATTCTGCTACATCTACTTATTAATCTCTCTCTCCAAGGTATTTCAAGACATCTATTGCCATAGTAACTTAGTGCAAGATAACCAAAGATAGCATTGAGTATGCCCTAAATTCCTGTGTGTCTTTTTGTATTTAATTTTATAAATTTTGAGGTGAAATTGTGGCACAGATCAGAAGGAGGGGGCACAAAAGAGATGACTTGGTCGGGGCCTAAGTGGAGTTCTTAATTATGTGAGTGTTCCTTACTGACACAAGTAGTCCCAGCTTTATCCAAGAAGGTTGCTGGATCAGGTTCATAGTTTTTAAACACAGAAAGCCTAGCCTCGCCTTTCTAACTTAAAAAATATTTTTAATTAAAAAAGAAAAGAAGGGATCATTCTCATTATAAGTCAGCAAGTAAAAGGATTCAAAATATTCAAGTACACTAAGTGCAAAACACAAAACAAGTAGCTTGTACAATTACCTATATATTTACTTTGTGATTCTCTGCCCCCGCCACCCCATTTGTCCTCCAATAATGTTATCTTAGTGTGTTTTCTGTCTGCATCTTATTGACTTTTTTTTTCTCCCCTCAGCTTTTCTGACAGGAACGGATCGAATCCCTGCCGAAGGGATGAGACATTTTCAATTCACTATTGCAGACTTTAAAAAAGAAAACCCGGACCTTTTCCATCCTGTTGCCAATACCTGCTATCACATCTTGGCGCTCCCAAGATACAGCAATAAAGAGATTTTTCGGGAAAAGTTCCTGAATGCCTTAGAGTTTTATGAAAAATTTAACCTATCATAAATTGTGGCCAAGAGCAATTTAAAAAAACATTTTTCATGTCTTACTTGCAATAGTATTCTATTGTTGGAGGAGATGCCACCAAATCCTGTCTTTTATTTGCACTGCACCTTAAAAACATTCAGATTCATTCATCCATTGGGATTGCACTTTGACTGCAGGCCTGAGAATCACCACCTTTGTTGAAGTACCTAAGATTGTAGAACAGGTTTGTAAAAAGTCAGTGAACTAACTAACCAAGTGCAATATTGACTAAACGAAAATGTATTATTGGTTAAATGACTTTTTCCCTGCATAATCTCTTACATTGGATATAAAGTGTGTGTGTATATGAATATATATATATATATATGAGAGAGAGAGAGATTGATTTTGTGATATGACAGGTGTATATATAGTACATAGGAATTTCAAAGGTACCTAGTGGATTTAAATGCCCAATTCTCCTTGAATTTCATTTGGATTTGGGTGAATGAGTCTCTTAGGTTCCATTGCAAATCCCAGCCTTAATATGTATCAAAAGAACACGTAATTAATTATTAATGGTATATAAAATAGGTTGACAATGTATATAATAGGTACTTTTAACTTCAGTGCTACCTACCAGACTGCTGTGTTAGGCAAAATCACCCTCCCGGTCTTAACTCTCATGCTTCCTACATTCCCACCATTTAAAAGAAACTTGCTGCTTCACAGATGTTTCTGGCTGGGGTTTTCAAAGGAGCATATGGGAGATAGAATTAATTGGGAGTTGGGTGTTTAATGGGAGATGGGCAACTGACTCCCTGCAGCCACTTGGAAAGTCTCCAGCACACTGACACATTCAGCGAGCAAGAGGTTAATTGGATGCTGGGAGGAGGGGTTGGTAAAGACAGTAATGACTCTGTAACTCTACAGTGCTCTTATTTGACATGGACCTGATTACTCAGCAAAATAAGTCACTATCTTTGCCAGCAGCAGAAGCCTGAATTGTGTTCACAGGGTGACCTCAAGAAGCAAGTCAACAACTGTAATATTAACAAATAACAATTAACACTTCTCCTATAGGTTTCCCAATGCATCCTGTCTTCACTGTGTCTTTTTTGGATTTGTCTGTAAGCTCTTTGGGGCATAGATTCTCAATACTTTGTATCTTGTATAGAACCAAGCATGCTGTCAATGCATTCTTAATAGTAGTAATGCCAAAGGGAGAGGATGATGAAATTTCCACTGATCAGAAATATTAGTGATGAGTTCTCTAGCCTTACCCAATACCTAAGGGGGCCTGAACCTGCAAATTTGTATTGGACTGAGCAGTCCATACTCTCACAAGCACTGTCTTTGACTCCTCCAAGTAAGAGGTTTCAGGATCAGGACTCAGCATGGCAAATATTTTATATTCTGTCAGTCATTTCCAGGCTTCGCTAAAAGCTGTATTTTTAAAGCATTAATGCAAGGGCTTTGCATTCCCAACATGCTGTGAACTTCTTATTTTCACTGTACGTAATTTTTAAAGGGGGTGTGTGGAGTCCTAAGCAAATAGATTTCATTTTCAAAAGCACAATGTTTTTTTAAATAAATGTCACTGCTACCATAAGTTAAACTCTTTGGGTCCAATTATGCAAGCAACTCCATGTGCATGGATCCCTGCACCTATGCAGGCTTCCTGGTGGGCCCTGGGAGCTGGCTGTACTTTGCAGAATTAAGGCCCAACACTGATAATACTATGCAAGGTTGTAAACACTGCAGACTATACTTTTTGTATTTTTCTGTGGTTTTTCTTGTAAAAAGCATATAAATATTGCATCTTTTTCATTGTCCGACAACTGTGCTCATTGCTTACCCTGAGTACCGTATGTTTGTTATACATTGTTGAATATGTCAGTGGGCAGGTACCTAAAGCAAGTTTCATGTGTAAGAAAGTGTTTTACTGGCCCTTTTGCCAAATGTTGTGTTGAAATAAATGAGGATAGCCTTTCATATGTACAGCTGACAGTGTTTTTCTTTGTTGTACAACTGCTTGTGTACTGTTGTGTTTCCTTGGTTCTCTCTCTTCGTAAAGCAAATTTTCAGAAGCGGGCACAGTAGGAAGTGAAGGCTGAGCTAAGCCCTGGTCTACACTAGGACTTTAGGTCGAATTTAGCAGCGTTAAATCGATTTAAACCTGCACCCGTCCACACAATGAAGCCCTTTATTTCGACTTAAAGGGCTCTTAAAATCGATTTCCTTACTCCACCCCTGACAAGTGGATTAGCGCTTAAATCGACGTTGCCGGCTCGAATTTGGGGTACTGTGGACACAATTCGATGGTATTGGCCTCCGGGAGCTATCCCAGAGTGCTCCATTCTGACCGCTCTGGACAGCACTCTCAACTCAGATGCACTGGCCAGGTAGACAGGAAAAGAACCGCGAACTTTTGAATCTCATTTCCTGTTTGGCCAGCGTGGCAAGCTGCAGGTGACCATGCAGAGCTCATCAGCACAGGTGACCATGATGGAGTCCCAGAATCGCAAAAGAGCTCCAGCATGGACCGAACGGGAGGTACGGGATCTGATCGCTGTTTGGGGAGAGGAATCCGTGCTATCAGAACTCCGTTCCAGTTTTCGAAATGCCAAAACCTTTCTGAAAATCTCCCAGGGCATGAAGGACAGAGGCCATAACAGGGACCCGAAGCAGTGCCGCGTGAAACTGAAGGAGCTGAGGCAAGCCTACCAGAAAACCAGAGAGGCGAACAGCCGCTCTGGGTCAGAGCCCCAAACATGCCGCTTCTATGATGAGCTGCATGCCATTTTAGGGGGTTCAGCCACCACTACCCCAGCCGTGTTGTTTGACTCCTTCAATGGAGATGGAGGCAATACGGAAGTAGGTTTTGGGGACGAAGAAGATGATGATGAGGAGGTTGTAGATAGCTCACAGCAAGCAAGCGGAGAAACCGGTTTTCCCGACAGCCAGGAACTGTTTCTCACCCTAGACCTGGAGCCAGTACCCCCCGAACGCACCCAAGGCTGCCTCCTGGACTCAGCAGGCGGAGAAGGGACCTCTGGTGAGTGTACCTTTTAAAATGCTATACATGGTTTAAAAGCAAGCATGTGAAAGGATTACTTTGCCCTGGCATTTGCGGTTCTGCCTTTGCAAAAGGTTTCTGGGGAGGGCAGCCTTATTTCATCCTTCATGGTAGGACACTTTACCACTCCAGGCCAGCAACACGTACTGGGGAATCACTGTAGAACAAAGCATTGCAGTGTATGTTTGCTGGCATTCAACCAAAATCCGTTCACGCGGTGGGAGGAGGCAAAATGCGACCTTGTAACGAAAGCACATGTGCTATGTATGTAATGTTAACAGCAAGGTTTACCCTGAAAGAGTGTAGCGACTGTTTTATAAAATGTGTCTTTTTAAATACCGCTGTCCCTTTTTTTTTCTCCACCAGCTGCATGTGTTTCAATGATCACAGGATCTTCTCCTTCCCAGAGGCTAGTGAAGCTTAGAAAGAAAAAAAAACGCACTCGCAATGAAATGTTCTCCGAGCTCATGCTGTCCTCCCACACTGACAGAGCACAGACGAATGCGTGGAGGCAAATAATGTCAGAGTGCAGGAAAGCACAAAATGACCGGGAGGAGAGGTGGAGGGCTGAAGAGAGTAAGTGGCGGGCTGAAGACAGGGCTGAAGCTCAAAGGTGGCGGCAGCGTGATGAGAGGAGGCAGGATTCAATGCTGAGGCTGCTGCAGGACCAAACCAGTATGCTCCAGTGTATGGTTGAGCTGCAGCAAAGGCAGCTGGAGCACAGACTGCCACTGCAGCCCCTCTGTAACCAACCGCCCTCCTCCCCAAGTTCCATAGCCTCCACACCCAGACGCCCAAGAACGCGGTGGGGGGCCTCCGGCCAACCAGCCACTCCACCACAGAGGATTGCCCAAAAAAAAGAAGGCTGTCATTCAATAAATTTTAAAGTTGTAAACTTTTAAAGTGCTGTGCTTAAAGTGCTGTGTGGCATTTTCCTTCCCTCCTCCACCACCCCTCCTGGGATACCTTGGTAGTCATCCCCCTATTTGTGTGATGAATGAATAACGAATGCATGAATGTGAAGCAACAATGACTTTATTGGCTCTGCAAGCAATGATTAAAGGGAGGAGGGGAGGGTGGTTAGCTTACAGGGAAGTAGAGTGAACCAAGGGGCGGGGGGGGGTTAATCAAGGAGAAACAAACAGAACTTTCACACCGTAGCCTGGCCAGTCATAAAACTGTTTTTCAAAGCTTCTCTGATGCGTACCGCGCCCTCCTGTGCTCTTCTAACCGCCCTGGTGTCTGACTGCGCGTAACCAGCAGCCAGGCGATTTGCCTCAACCTCCCACTCTGCCATAAACGTCTCCCCCTTACTCTCACAGATGTTGTGGAGCACACAGCAAGCAGTAATAACAGTGGGAATATTGGTTTCGCTGAGGTCTAAGTGAGTCAGTAAACTGCGCCAGCGCGCCTTTAAACATCCAAATGCACATTCTACCACCATTCTGCACTTGCTCAGCCTGTAGTTGAACAGCTCCTGACCACTGTCCAGGCTGCCTGTGTATGGCTTCATGAGCCATGGCATTAAGGGGTAGGCTGGGTCCCCAAGGATACATATAGGCATTTCAACATCCCCAACAGTTATTTTCTGGTCTGGGAATAAAGTCCCTTCCTGCAGCTTTTGAAACAGACCAGAGTTCCTGAAGATGCGAGCATCATGCACCTTTCCCGGCCATCCCACGTTGATGTTGGTGAAACGTCCCTTGTGATCCACCAGAGCTTGCAGCACTATCGAAAAGTACCCCTTGCGGTTTATGTACTCGGCGGCTTGGTGCTCCGGTGCCAAGATAGGGATATGGGTTCCGTCTATAGCCCCACCACAGTTAGGGAATCCCATTGCAGCAAAGCCATCCACTATGACCTGCACATTTCCCAGGGTCACTATCCTTGATATCAGCAGATCTTTGATTGCGTGGGCTACTTGCATCACAGCAGCCCCCACAGTAGATTTGCCCACTCCAAATTGATTCCCAACTGACCGGTAGCTGTCTGGCGTTGCAAGCTTCCACAGGGCTATCGCCACTCGCTTCTCAACTGTGAGGGCTGCTCTCATCTTGGTATTCATGCGCTTCAGGGCAGGGGAAAGCAAGTCACAAAGTTCCATGAAAGTGCCCTTACGCATGCGAAAGTTTCGTAGCCACTGGGAATCGTCCCAGACCTGCAACACTATGCGGTCCCACCAGTCTGTGCTTGTTTCCCGAGCCCAGAATCGGCGTTCCACAGCATGAACCTGCCCCATTAGCACCATGATAGCTCAGTGGTTTGAGCATTGGCCTGCTAAACCCAGGGTTGTGAGTTCAATCCTTGAGGGGGCCGTTTAGGGAACTGGGGCAAAAACTGGGGATTGGTCCTGCTTTGAGCAGGGGGTTGGACTAGATGACCTCCTGAGGTCCCTTCCATCCCTGATATTCTATGATTCCATGATGCATGCATTGTCAGGGCCCATGCTTTCAGAGAAATCTGTGTCCATGTCCTGATCACTCACGGGACCGCGCTGACGTCGCCTCCTCGCCCGGTATCGTGTTGCCATGTTCTGGTGCTGCATATACTGCTGAATAATGCGTGTGGTGGTTAATGTGCTCCTAATTGCCAAAGTGAGCTGAGCGGGCTCCATGCTTGCCGTGGTATGGCGTCCGCACAGAAAAAAGGCGCGGAACGATTGTCTGCCGTTGCTCTGACGGAGGGAGGGGCGACTGACGACACGGCTTACAGGGTTGGCTTCAGGGAGCTAAAATCAACAAAGGGGGTGCCTGTACATCAAGGAGTATTTCAGGCAGGACTGCACGGAGGGTTCCAATAAGAAATGGTGCACCTAAGTTATCGTTGTTATTGGAACAAGGAGGTTAGCCTGGCCTCTGATTGATACATGGCTAGATTTACCTCGCTGCACCTTCTCTGTGAGTGACTGCAGTGTGACCTAGAGGAATGAGTCCCCTAGACAGGGGAGGAGGCAAATGAGTACAAAACAAATCTGGTCTATTTCTTGTTTTGACCCACTCCATCTATCTTTTACATCTTTGGCTGGCAGCAGACGGTGCAGAAGGACTGCATGCCATCCACATCTCATGGCTGCTCGGCAGAAGATGGTACAGTACGACTGCTAGCCATCCCCATCTCTTGCCTGCCTGGCAGAAGATGGTGCAATACGACTGCTAGCAATCCTCATCTCTTGCCTGCCTGGCAGAAGATGGTACAGTACGACTGCTAGCAGTCCGTATCGCCTGCCCGCTCACCATAAGACGGTTCAATAGGACTGACTGCAGGACTAAAGAGAATGACCTGGTCAAGTCACTCCAAATTTAGTCCCTGCGCCCATGTCTGCCCAGGCGCTCCCAGCCGACGCGGCCAGGAGCACCTCGGACACGATAAGGACGACTACCAGTCGTATTGCACCGTCTGCTGCCAGAAGGTAAGGGGTTGCTGCTACCGTGCAGCAAAGCCGTACCGCGTCTGCCAGCACCCAGGAGACATAGGGTGACGGTTACCTGAGCGGGCTCCATGCTTGCTGTGGTATGGCGTCTGCACAGGTAACTCAGGAAAAAAGGCGCGAAATGATTGTCTGCCCTTGCTTTCACGGAGGGAGGGAGGGAACGGGGGCCTGACGACACGTACCCAGAACCACCCGCGACAATGTTTTAGCCCCATCAGGCATTGGGATCTCAACCCAGAATTACAATGGGCAGCGGAGACTGCGGGAACTGTGGGATAGCTACCCACAGTGCAACGCTCCGGAAGTCGACGCTTGCCTCGGTACTGTGGAAGCGCTCCGCCGAGTTAATGCACTTAATGCACTTAGAGCATTTTCTGTGGGGACACACACACTCGAATTTATAAAACAGATTTCTAAAAAACCGACTTCTATAAATTCGACCTTATTCCGTAGTGTAGACATACCCTAAGAGTGTTCAAGTTTATCATGTGCAACATAATTATGTTCCTGATCCAATTTCCTATTACATTAGTAAGCCAGGTCAAGTATGTTGCTGTGTGGGGAGATATTTGCTTTATGCTGATTTGTAAATCTAGGACAAACGTTATATACAGTATTCTTCACTTCCAGTCCTAAACTGTGGTGTTGCTGCTGTGTGACAAGCCCTATGTTTCGCGCCAGAGGCGGCTGCGTTTCAGTGAGAAGTGAGGTGATTCCTGTAGAGGGCTGGCCCCACACTCCCTTTGCTTCTGTCGGTGCAGAGGAAACTAAACTCTTGGATCTGAGTAGGGTCACCGCGGGAGCACCAGCTCCACACATGCCTCCAGAAACTTCTCTGTGGGACGGGCAGGTCTGGCTACTCTCTTTGGCATCCTGCTCCTTCCTCCTAAAACTGTAGGCCAAAGCAGAGAAAGTGCCCTATGTTGTGATGCCTCCTCCCACACATCCCCGCTACAGGAGTTTCAGAGAGCAGCAGCAGCTGAAATCCCTGACTCTGTCATTCCTAGAGGAGATAGGTTGCCATGGTGTTGCAGGGGGTAAAGTGGAAGTGTGTGATGAAACTGGCAGGACCCTGTGCCACTTTTATGCACTGCCTTTTCTTTCATTGTAGTGATGAGATTTAATTGGGATGAACGTTCTGCCATATAGTATTCCCAAATCCTAACCGAGCTGGGACTCCCACTCAGCTTTCCTGCATGGCGGCTCAAAGCACTACCCCAAGCCAGCCTACCGCTCATCTATTTGTTACTTTCCTGTTATACTTTATGATTCTACACTAGGGCTTGGAAATTCTGAGTGACTGTAAGTACTGTGCAGCTATAAGAAAGATGGTTTCTGTCTGGATTTCACAGTAACCCATTGCAGATTAAATGATTATAGGTTTATCTGCAGCCTGCAGGAATTTCCTCTATCTCATATGGTGCATGAGAGAGAGAGCCTGGAGTAACTTGCAAGGCTATTTTTAATTCATTCTCAAATAAGCCCTGATCTTAGAAAAATAAACTCCCTCACAAACAGTACTTTGGGCATCAAGTTGTGTCTACATTACAGCTCCTGGTACATTACCCAAAACAAACAAACAAAAATCCACAGGAGCTGAACCTATTTTAAGACATTAATTCAAAAGAGTCTGTGTTGGCCAGAGAAAGTGTATGAAACTCACATTAGAAAGTGTTTTCTGAGATGCTTCCTCCTGTCTAAATGTCTGATTATCACATTTAAAGAAGCCCTAACGCTGTTTGCAGTGAAGAATAGCTGATTTTGTCAGGCATCCTTTTAGAACAAAATCTCCTTGGAGCTTCTAGGTCAAGATAAGCCAAAGGGTGTGAGATGTGCTCTGTGAAGAGGTTTAGCCAAGGGTGGGGAATGGATGTTCTGGAGGAAAGGCTGGCAAGGGCTGGCGGAGAGCCACTGGACCACTTGTATACACAACTGCACCTGCAGTATGGTTGGCATAACTTCGGCCTTACTGTGGAGTTCCTGTATGGGATACAGGCATGATAGCCCGTCACTCTTGGTCCAGGAGGTAGCTATACCATGGAAGGAATACAGAAAAAAAACATACATGGGTTCATTCCCTCCAGTGACAAAGAGACTTTTATGGTCAGCTCAGGGTTACTACTCCCCCAAAAGATAGCTCTCATGCATGTTTATGGATGACGGGTGAATAATGTCTGGCTTATGTCAGACGGCATCTTCTCCCATTAGACCAAGAGTTCTGCCTTTGTGAGTCATTCTTACTTTGAGTCGCTTGCTGGCTGACGGACAGATCCCTCCAGGGACTAGATACATCAGCACATATCTGCCAAGGACCATCTACCAGACCTTTAATAGAAGTTTTTAATCTGCCTTCATTTCAGGT